GCAGATCACTCACCTGGCACATGTGAGGCCCTTGGTTCCATCCTCAGCACCACATATCAATAAATAAATAACATAAGGGTATTATGTCCAGCCACAACTAAAATAATAAAATAATTTTAAGAAAAGGTATAAAGAGAAGTGACAAAGTGGGAGAACTAATGACCTCACATAAAGTTAAGAATATTTAATAAAAAAGGAAATGACACTTTTGGTAGGAGAAATGTTCAAAAATTAAAACCTGTTAACATCTTAACAAATTAGAAAAATCCAAACTAACATCTGATGCCAAAAAAATTACACAGTATTGATGAGGACAAGAAACAAATTCTCTTGAATTAGAGAAAGAATGTAAATTGCTATTATCTTTTGTGTAAAGTGTTTATTTAATATATATGATACTCCTCAAACAGTAGAAAAGCCTATATAAAATACTGGGCTTTTGAACCCTGATAATATATAGTTACATGATAGCATAAGGCTACAGCTATGTTAGTCCATGCAGTTGAAACCAGAAAAATAGGTGCAAAGAGGAAGTACATTCAAAATGAAATAAATACAATAGTTTGAAAAAATTGCTTTCTTGAAATCAGTCATATTTTTAGTTTCATTGAAGTGGCACCTGCTTTCTCCATAGAAGTTTTAACTGGGCTTCTCCAGAAATCTTCACCATGGCTGATTTTTGGACTGTTACCAAATAGTCTCTACAAAAGAGTTCAATGCAGATAACTTCCAATTTTCATGTTGCCCTGTTTTAACTGGCCACTGGCTGGGAAGAAATCAGCACTCTAGGTACTGGACACCCACTTACTAGTTTCTCACAAACATGTATCCAGTAGAGTAGTTTGTAAAAAATGTGTAAATAAGGCCTCTTAGCGCCTAGCTGGTGCTTCACACAGATGTTTACATTTCTAAGATAAAAAAAGTTACCAATTGGGCTCCTTGGTAATAGCTGGCAGGGGGAGGAAAGAAAGGGGAGAAGAATCTCTCCTCAGGTGCTATCCATGAAGGGTAAACTTGCCCAGAACAGTGAAAGAAAAAAAAAAAAAACTGCTTTTATGTGAACTTCTGCAGACTGTGAGTTTCTGAGCACATCCAATTATATGCTGAGTATAAAACTTTGAAACTACCCAAACTTGGGGTTCAGGGGATTGATTGATTATAGCAAAAGCTATGCCCTCTGAATCTGGCTGCAGCCAAATAAAAGTGTTTCCTGCTATCTTCTATGACTTGCTTCGTTTGTCCCATTTCCTGGCTTTCAGGATGCTTCGTGTTCCCCATGTAGTTTTTTTTCAGCTCCAGTGTAGCACAGAAACCTGGAAGCATAAAAATGGATTCAATGAATGGCAGGCTCCAGAAACAAAAGGGGTTAATCTGTTTAAAGGAAAGATGCTCAAGTCCCAGTTGTATAGGGGAATTAATATTGAATAAACTGTGGTTGTCAGTACTTATAGTTCTGAATAACTGGGAAAACTTTTAAAATTGAGTTCCTATAGGTTTCATGTAATATCTTCTTTAGTCTCTGATCACTAAAAGTAGAAATACTGACTTTCCAATTCCTTCAGATCGGGAAACATCTATTAAGTATTTATAAAATTGTGATGTTTGTTGCAGGTGGCATCATAGAGAAGAAATGTCATTTTGAATTAGGAATTTGACTGCTATCCCTTGATAACTGGAGCTAACCTTTATAGGTACAATAGAAAGAGGCATACTGTTGCCAGGGCAACTGAAGTTCAAGATCATCTGGTCTCCAGGCAACCTTTTCTAGACTTGCCTCAAATATTTTCCCAGGCACTCTAAGGAGAGGCCCTTCCCTGCTTTCCCCTTCTAGCTTTGGGACCTCAGGGAGAGCCCAAGAAACACCATGGAATGATGTGAGATTTGGACTTTTTTTTTTTTTCTGTGGTGCTGGGAATTGAATCCAGGGTCTCATGTATGCACTCCACCACTGAGGTATATCCCCACCCCTAAGTTTGGCATTGAACTGGCAAAATATATGGATCAAGTGTTAGGTACCTACTTTAAATTGAAAAGAAAAATCAGATTATAGAAAAATGTGGGCAGGGGCCTAGGGTTGTGGCTCAGCAGTACACCACTCGTCTCCCACGCGCAGGACACTGGGTTCGATCCTCGGCACCGCATAAAAAAATATGAAATAAAGGTATTGTGTCCAACTACAACTATAAAATAAAAATATTAATAAAAAATAAAAATAAAAATGTGGGCAGTTTCTCCCTATCCTTGTGTCTGAAACTCTGACATCAAATTTCAGCAGTTACTATTATATTCTCAGTGCTTTTAATTCTTCTTGTAAGGCTTTCTGAAGCTTACTAAAGCTTGATTCATTATTATCAGTGTGTGACTTGTAAAAGAAGTGACATACTTGTGCTCTTACCCAGTATGTGAGAGGGTAGGTGACCAATGTCTGAAGGATAAGGCTGCTTTGTCTAAGAGCTTTTCTCTTTCCAACATCATAAGGGATTACTGTTGCCTTGGGCAACATAAAGCAACAGTTACTAGGGCAGAGAATGATGGTAGTTCTAAGGGCATAAGTACCATGGGAAATTCTGCTGTGGATTGTTTCATGCCAAGCCTTGAGATACTTAAAAATGTACTGGGTGTGGTGATGTGTACTTGTAATCCCAGCTACTTGAAAGGCTGAGACCTTGGCAATTTAGTGAGACCTTGTCTCTCAAAAAAATAAAAAGAGCAGGAGATGTGACTCAGAGTGCCTCTAGGTTTAGTCCCCAGTATCACTAAATAAATAAAATTGAATTAAGATAAAAAATAAAAAAGGGCTGGGTTGTTGCTTAGTGGCAGAGCACTTGCCTAGCATGCTTGAAGCCCTGGGTGGAATCACCAGTTTTGGGGATGGCTAGTTAGGGAGTAGTTAGCCTTAAACTTAGAAGTGTCTATGGGAATGGGATGAAGCCTGGGACCAGGAAGGAAGAACAGTAGTTGGTTTGCAAGTGGGGCTTGGTGCCAGGCCACTTCATTCTAAAGGTCCGAATTGAGTGTCTGTGGAGACCAAAGCTAGGATTTGGAGGAGGGTACAAAAGTAGGGAACTTCTTTCATAGCATTTATGATCTATTTTGGAGGTAAAAATACATGTAATAGACCCATACCTTGCACTACTTACTGTCTATATCTAGTTTGGGAGTGGAGTACCAAGGGGCTTCAGAAAGGGCAGAGGAATATTGTTTTCAGTGGTTGGGAAGGGTTTATTGGAAGAGGTAGGATCAAAATAATTCCTAAAGGATGGGTCTCATTTACAAGTAGGAGAGAAGAGAACCATGTGTGGAAGAAGGTGAAGCCCTGCTTCTCATTTATTCTCATTATTCATTAATTTATTCATATTCTCTTAAAATCTTTACTTTTACTAAGGTATTCCTCACAAAATTATACCCAAGGAGGATATGAGTTAATATTCATTATTATTTGTGAGACCATTTTTTCTTAATCTCAATCAAGGATTGCAACTTGGTCAGCTATCACTAGCAGATGGTGTTTAATGGGCCTGCCCATTTTTCTTTGTGAATCCTGAATTTAAATGCCCTTGGGTGAGTCATGGGCCACTACTCTTGTGAAGACAAGAGTAGACCTGACTGGACTCAGCATTGATAGCATGTGCCTCTGTTAGCACTGAAGTTTGCAACTCTTGGTATTAAGACTTCATTGAAAATAGAAAAAGGAAACTTTTTTATTTTTTGTAGTACTCAGAGCACTCTACTACTGAGCTACCTCCTCAGCCCTTTTTATTTTGAGATAGGGTCTTGCTAAGTTGCTAAGGATGGTCTTGAACTTACAGTCTTCCTGCCTCAGCTTCGCAAGTCACTGGGATTGCAGGTGTGTTTCACTATAGCCAGCTGAAAAGGAATCTTAAATAAGTTCTCATTAAGTGGGAATTCTTCTGAGCTTGAGTTTAATATCTAATCTTCCCCTTTCCCAAATTTCATCTTAAAATTTCTTCTGCCCCTTTTTAAAAACATATATATATATATTTTTTAAGTTGTAGTTGGACACAATACCTTTATTTTATTTATTAATTTTTTTATGTGGTGCTGAGCATCAAACCCAGTGCCCCGCGCTTGCTACTCGCAAACGCTCTACCGCTGAGCCACAACCCCAGCCCCTCTTCGCCCTTTTCATTAAAGGAAGTAACATCTCGTCCTTTTGTTTTCAGCTACTTTCCCTTCTCTTCCCCTGAATCGTGTCTGGCTGTCTCAGACTGGGGGACTACAGAAACTCTGAACAGAATCCACTGGATAATTTTTAAAGCCTAGAAGGCCCATTGCAATAATTAGTTTGAAGAATTCTTTGAATATAAAGTAATGAATGACAACAGAGGATTAAAAATGGATTCCACCTTTCAACATAAAATTTTATTTGCTTCTCAAATACTTTATCTTTCTTTTTGGCATTTACTTTGGCTATTTGCCATTTGGTAGGCTAGTAGAGTTGATAAATAACTGTGAAACGCTATAATAATTCTTCCTTGTTTTTTGGCCAGGGATATGTTATTATCTACATTGGGATAGTTCTACTGTCTAGTGAACTCCAAGTGGACATCTGTGGTTGGAACTGAACCCAGCTCACTTCTTGGCTTTCTGGAGCCATTCTCTTTGAGTCTGTCCTCTTGAGCCTCAGTGTTTTCTCCAGCTTCCTAAAAGATGATAGTCAATATTTGTATGGTCTTGAATAAAATACTGAGTGTGTGAGGTAGTTTATAACCTCCCAGCAGTTAGGAGAGAACATAACTCTGCATACTTTTTACCTCTTAGGCAATGGGCCATCACAAATGGGTTCTTTCCAAGGTTTCCTGTGTTGAGGACTGTACAGGTTGGGTCAAGGTTGAGGGTAAAGAGCAGCAGTTACTGTGTTTCCTCCTTGCCTGTGGTCCTGGTAAGAAATATGCTAGCAGTAAAAGGCAGGAAGAGGAAGGGCCAAAGCACAGGCTCTCTGCTGAGGACCTTCATGTGTCACCTTCCCTCCTTGGCAGGCACTGAGTGACCGTTTCAGCGGTGAGATCCCTGATGACCAGATGGCGCACAGCTCCTTTTTTCCAGATGAGTACTTCACCTGCTCCTCCTTGTGCCTCAGCTGTGGGTAAGTGAGGCCAGTCCCGCTCCGCCTCCAGGTACTAGAGGATTAGAGTAGTCATTCACTTGAGTGTATGTGCCAGTCACCTGGGGTCTTTCTAAATTTCAGTTTCTGATTAAAATCATCCAGGGCAAGGCCCAAGATGGTGCATTTCCAACAAGTTTCCAGGTGATCATGATGAGTCACACTTTGAGATAGCAAGAGCTTCAAGGGTACATAGTTATGAAGGTTTCTCTGAAGATTCTAAACTGGTGTAGATGTGAAGTTAACTGGTTTCTGTTTTGGGCAGTTTTTATGACAGAAGATTTGGGGTTCTGTGCTTTTCTCTGTGTCTTTTTTTTTTTTGAGAGAGAGAATTCTTTAATATTCATTTTCTAGTTTTCGGTGGACACAACATCTTTGTTTGTATGTGGTGCTGAGGATCGAACCCGGGCCGCACGCATGCCAGGCGAGCGCGCTACCGCTTGAGCCACATCCCCAGCCCCTTCTCTGTGTCTTTAACCAGGGCTTTCAATCATTTATTTATAGGTTGCTATTTATTAAACTAATATGTGAGTAACCTCCCTGCCCATGCCCAAGCCATGTGCAAAACCTTGTGATATATATTTAACCTAGCTGATTCTTTTCATTGTGAGGGCAAATGATTAGAACATACTAGAATTTTCTAGGGAGCTTTCAAAATTATTTAGGCCGGGGCCCCACCACTGGGAATTCTCATTTATTGGATCTGGGGTAAGATCTCCGGATTGATGTATTTAGAAGACTCATTGGATGATTCAAAGGTATAGCTTAATCTGAGAGCACTGAGTTAGGGCAGTGCTTCTCAAATTTCAACCTGCATATCTATTACCTTAAGCTGATAAAATATTGTTTCTGAACCTGCAGGTCTGGGTGGGACCCAAGATTCTTCTGCATCAGGAACAAGGGCCAGGTCATTGCCTGTGTAGCTGGTCCATGGGCCCTTCTTTGTTACTGAGGGATTAGAACAGTGCTCCTCAAGCTTTAGTATGCATCTGAAAAACCTGAAAACTGTGTTAAAACAGATTGTTGGGCCCTTTTCCCCACAGTTTGATTCAGTAGGTCAGAGGTAGGACCTGGGAATTTGGATTTTAATAAATTCCTAGGTGATGCTGCTGTTGCTCTTTGGACCTACATCTGAAGATCGATGTATTAATTGAACTTGTTGATGGCTATTAAATCACAGACTGGGTGCCTTGTCTGATCAACCCCAGGGGATTGAACCTAGTGTGTCTAGGTCAGAATGCAGTCTCCATGTCCTATAGATATTCCCCAAGTTCCCTTCATCATGGACTTAGCTCATATCAGGATCACTGCCCATGTTGCCAACATTTGCCTGTCTACAGGCAGAGACCTGAGCCCAGTTCTGTATTGGTCTTTTGGCTACCTGCTGTGGTACTGAACCACCTCTGACCTGGGTAAAAAGGTCTTGGCTCTTGGATTATACAGTGGAGGCTAAAGAGAGCCAAGAATTATCTTGGAGAGTTCAGTTTGGGATGGGAAGAGGAATGTTAGTTGCCATATTACTTACCTTCCTTTCTGTTCTCCCTGTGAACCCAGCATGAGGGGCTTCAGCACTTCTGGATCATCACTTTTCCATTCTGAGCCTCACTGGGTTTCCAGAATTTTCTGTTTTATTACAGCAAAATTCCAAAGTCCTGACCTCTGTTTTTGCCTTGTCAGGATGACAGAACTCACTGTCATTTGGAAGTTTTTCTTGTTTGGCTTAAGCCTCCCCTTAACGCATTGCCAACTTTTGGGGGTTGGCTTGCATTTTGCATCTTGGCAGCCTGTTCTGGTTTAACTTTCCATTTCACCCTTTCTGGATTTTTAGTTTCTTGAGAGCCATGCAGGTTTCATCTTTGGTTAAGTTGGTGTCTTCTGGCTCCTCCATTCCTGTTGGGACAAGGTCTGTTTTTGCAAGAAGAAACTCTTTTTTCCCCATACAAGGGAGATGCTTGCTCTATCTCTGTCACACTGTTGATTGTAAGTGTAACAGAGGGGCCTCTGGATTTCCAGGGTCAGCTGCCCTCTGAGTCCCAGTAACAAAGATCTGCTTTTAGCCCTGTGCCTGGCTAGGGTTGGCCTTTCTCTAAGTGGCGCTGGCTCCTTTTGCTCTCTCATTGACTGTTTTGGGGTTTCCCTCAGGGTTGGATGTAAGAACAGCATGAATCATGGGAAGGAAGGAGTGCCTCACGAAGCCAAGAGCCGTTGCAGGTATTCTCACCAGTATGACAACCGAGTTTATACCTGCAAGGTGAGTTCTCAAAGCGTTTCCTTGCTCCAGCAGCAGGCTTGCTTGCATGCCTTCTCCTTTGGAAAGATTGGCTTGGGGCTGCCCTTTGCTGCATCCTGAAGTGTTCGATATTCAAATTGAATACCTTTGGAACTTTTCCCCAGCTGTATTCAAAAGAATACATGTCTTTATGGCTTTATTTATTTATTTATTTGTTTATTATGTATGTTTATTTATTGATTTTTTTTTTTTTTGGTACTGAGGATTGAATCCAGGGGTGCTTTACCACCAAGCCACATCCCCAGCCCTTTTTATTTTTTAGAGACAGGGTCTTGCTGAGTTGTTTAAGGCCTCACTAAGTTGCTGAGGCTGGCCTTGAAGATTTGATCCTCCTGTGTCAGCCTCCTGAGTCACTGGGATAATAGGCATGTGCGACTGCATCCAGCTAAATTAGTTTTGATGTATGTCTCCTTTCTGTGATAAGTGTGTAATTTAGAGCCCAGGTTTTAGACCTGGGATGGGTACACATTTTATTATCTCTCAGAGCACTGGCTTCTTTAGAGAAACAAATCTTCTTAGGTGCTAAGTGGGGTGTGAAACCCTCAACCAGTATGGTTGCGGGGAGTGGGGAAGTGAAGAGGGCATGGGGCTGGTGTACCTAGAATAAGCTTGCAGAGTACTCCATGTTGCAGGCCTGCTATGAGAGAGGCAAGGAAGTCAGTGTAGTGCCCAAAACATCTGCCTCCACCGACTCTCCTTGGATGGGTCTCGCAAAATATGCCTGGTCTGGGTGAGTTTAAACAACGTAACTAAAGGTTTGTTGGTGTTTGTCTCCCAAGGGCCTGAGTGGATAATACTTTATCCTCCTCCTCCTAGATATGTGATCGAGTGTCCTAACTGTGGCGTGGTCTATCGTAGCCGGCAGTACTGGTTTGGGAACCAAGATCCTGTGGATACAGTGGTGCGGACAGAGATTGTGCATGTGTGGCCTGGAGTAAGAACTCTTACATTGATTTTTTTCCTCCTTTCTTTTGTTTTGTTCAGTTATTCATGTGTAGGAAGAAGTGGAGCTTGTTTAGAAGGAAGGTTAGCCATGAATTTCAAAACATGAGTGCTGTAGAAAGGCAAGATCTGGAAGCCTTTCCTGTTACAGCTATTGAATTGTTTTTATTTCTTCTTGCATAAATGGTAGGAGCACAACTTTAAGTGAAGTAAGCTAAAAATTAATCTGTCATTGTCCTTTAGCAAATACAGCTTTATTTTCTAATGTTCTCACTCATTTTCTATATGCAGATGTTTTTATAGATGCAGTCATTTTTTTTTTTTTTTTTGCTTGCTTATTTATTTATTTATTTAGAGACAGAAACTTTCTGTGTTGCTTGTCTTTGTCTGAGACTCGTAGACTCAAGCAATTTTCCTGTTTCGGCCTCCTGAGTTATAATAGCTAGGACTATAGGCATGTGTCACTATGCCCAGCCTGATTGTGATTTAAATGCCATTTTTCTCATGATAGAATTCATTTTGTCCAAGACTGTAGTCGGGATTTATCATTCCCTTATTTTTGGACATTTATGTTTTTTTAATGAATTTTTTATGAGCAATAAAAATGTTTTAGTGACCATCTTTATGTAAGAAAATAATTTCTTTGTTCTGGGAAATTTTCTTGAAGGATATGCTAGGAAGTAGAATTTTTGTAGACCTTTATTTACTTTATTTACTGTTTTTAATTTGACATTGAATGCAAGGTTTTGGAAAAACAGACCTGTTTAGGAGGCAGTGATTTGGTACTTTCATTCCATCAAATCACTGTTCACATCTGGATGTAGTGTATGCCTATAGTCCTAGCTACTTGGGATGATTACTTGGACCTGGGGTTTAAGGTCAACCTGGGCAACTTGGTGAGATCTTGTCTCCTCCCACTCCTCACTGCCCCCTCCCCCCAAAAAAAAGGAAAAAGGAAAAAGTGAAAAGTCACTATTCACACTTGGAATTATTCATAAATCATAACAAATCCTACACCTTTTCCCTTCATGGAAAAAGACAAGTGGTTTTCTCAAAAAGGAATTATTTCACTCTGTTGTCCCCTTGAGGTATAATTTCTACTGACTTGCTGTCTATATTAGTCACATTTCCTTATCTGGCAAATACCTGAGATAATCAACTTCTAAAGAAGAAAGTTTTGCTCTGGTTCAGTATCATTCCCTGATCACTTGGCCCTATTGCTTTGGGCCTGTGGCAATACAGTACATTGTGATGGGAAATTCCCATTTATCTCATGGCCAGGAATCCAAAGAGAAAGAAACCTAAAACCTCACATTGGGCCCCACCTCTTAAAGTTCCTACCACCTTCCAATAAAACCATCCTTTAACACATGGGCCGTTGGGGAACATTCCAGAGTTAAAATAGCCCATTTCTACCTGCCAATCCACCTTTAGCTTTTCCTGATTTCTACAGTTACATGAAATTGAGAATTTCCTTATTTTCCTTTACTCCCCACCCCCAATTTCTGTGCCCACTGAAATTTGTTATTGTTGTGTAGTTTTCTTTATGGAGCCCACATCCTTGGCCAGATGAGTTTTTTTTTTTTTAAAATACACAACAGCAGAATGTATTACAATTCTTATTATACATATAGAGCACAATTTTTCATATCTTTGTATAAAGTATGTTCACGCCAATTCATGTCTTTATACATGTACTTTTTTTTGCATTACAATTCTTATTACACATATATACCACAATTTTTCATATCTGTTTGTATATTAAATAGGTTGACACTCAATTCGAGTCTTCATACATGTACTTTGGATAATGATGTCCATCACATTCCACCATCCTTGCTAATCCCCTGCTGGCCAGATGGTTTTGATGACCAAGGCTATGCTATCCTAAGGATTTAATATGACCTAAAAGTGAGGAAGTAAAATCATGAGATAGTTTCTATTCCAGGAAAACAATAATATAGTAAATTTACTCTTAGGCTGCTTCTCTCATAATCTTTGGGATTAGGAGAATACATTGCTTTTTATGTGTCTGCTCATTGATTGTTTTAACATAGGTTGTACAGTACAGTGTGCCCAAAACTGTTCTGGATGCTAGCAGGGAGTCAACATACATAATAGATATTGCACTTACACAGAAATAGGATTTCTAGAGGTAGGTAGGTGTTAGCGGTTAGAGAGGAAGGATTCCTAACTGAGCCTGGGTTGAGATGCTTCATGGACAAAGTGTCGCCTCCTATACCGAAGGGATAAAATAAGTCCTGAGTTAAAACAGCTGCACATCAAGTCTTATGGTCAATACAACAAGAATAAATCAGTGCCATTGGGTGCAGCATTGATTGCCTAGAAGCCATAGATTCTCCATTTTTCCATGCCAAGGAGTTTGTAGTTCTGGTTGGCACCAGGGACCCTTCCCTTCTTCCTTGTAGTTCCTTCACTCAGAGCATGACGGGATCCTGCATTTTCATTCCAGACTGATGGGTTTCTGAAGGACAACAACAATGCTGCCCAGCGCTTGTTGGACGGGATGAACTTCATGGCTCAGTCTGTGTCTGAGCTAAGTCTTGGGCCCACCAAAGCTGTGACTTCCTGGCTGACAGACCAGATTGCCCCTGCCTACTGGAGGCCCAATTCCCAAATCCTGGTATGGTATGACAGGATGCCCCTTCATCCCCGGTACAGCCCATCCTTCCTCCACTGCTTGGTCCAGGACTAAGCTGGTTCTGTGAACTAGGTGCAGTTCCCCCCAGTGTAGTTATCTCAAAGGGTATTGGAACGGGTAGGAACTTTGAGGCACTTTCTCCTTAGATTACCAATTTCCTTTTGTGTTGTTACGCAAATATTTTCTTTTTTTATTGGTGCATTATGATTATACTTAATAATGGGATTTGTTGCTAAATATTTACACATACACATAATTTGGTCAGTTTCATTCCCCAATATCTGCAAGTCTTTTCTTTGTGGTGGGTTATAGTTTCTTTACCTGTGAGAGTCAGTTAATATTGCTCAGATGTTTGAGGCCATAGATACAGAATCTGGAGAAAGAAGCCTTTTAAAGGTCTTTGAGGGTCATCTTGGCTTGATACATAAATCACTAGGACACTCTCAGCCAGAGAGCACAGAGCTTCAGTTCATTTATCTTCTTACAGGAAATACTCCCATCCTTTCTATGTTCAGATAACTAGTATTACTGGATAATTTGGGTCCTGACTGAGAAACAACCTACCTCCCTGATTTGCTCCCACCTCCCCTATCTTGTGTCAACTGACAGACATGTACAATTCCTGCCTCTCTGTTGTGTTTTTGGATTAAAACAGAGCTGCAACAAGTGTGCGACATCCTTTAAAGACAATGACACTAAGCATCACTGCCGGGCCTGTGGGGAGGGCTTCTGCGACAGCTGTTCATCTAAGACCCGGCCAGTGCCCGAGCGGGGCTGGGGGCCTGCACCCGTGAGGGTGTGTGACAACTGCTACGATTCCAGGAATGTCCAGTTAGGTAATGTGGGGACGGAGAGCTTCCAGGGCGGAGGGGGTCCATCCTCCTTCTTTTCACTGGGACAGGACTCCTGCTACCCAAGCCCTGCTCCTAACCACATCACTGTTCTGAGAGTAGCTGATCTGCTGGCACAGCCAGTGGTCCTTTAAGCTCTTTTTTTTTTTTTCATTTTCGGTACTGGGGAAGACCCAGCGCCCCACACATGCTAGGCAAGTGCTCTATCTCTGAGCCACTTTCTCGATCCTCTGTTAGGCTCTTCCTTAGCAGGGTTCTATGAGTGCTCTTCTTGGGGGGTGGAGTTTGAACCTGGTTGACAGACCATATTGCTCCTGCCTATTGGAGGCCAAACTCATGAGCCACGGAGGTGCTTCTGAGGGAAGGAACCCACACATAGCCGCTAATCCCTGCAAAGCCTGCAGTTCTTATCAGAGATGGCTTCAACTAAGTCCTCTTCCTAGAGAAGTTTCTAGGTCATGCTTACAGAACCTCTCTGGCTTACTTTAAGAGAAGGTTATGAAGTAGTTACAAAGGATTGGAGGTAAAAGACAATAGCTGTCATACCACTTTCAGGGTCTGGGCTGACCTGGCCCACAGCCCAGACACTTGGAATCACTGCAGGCCAGCACAGTGGTCCAAGGAGGTGAATCCAAAAGAGCTCTGCTGAGGCCCTGAGTTTTCCATTTGGTAGACGACTAAGGCAACATCTTTTCCTTTATCATTTCCCACAGATGTTACTGAGGCACAGGTAGACGATGAAGGCGGAACACTCATTGCTCGGAAGGTGGGAGAGGCTGTGCAGAACACCTTGGGAGCCGTGGTGACAGCCATTGACATACCACTAGGTGGGCCTGGCAGTGTCTGTCTGGGGTGTAAAGGATGTGGGATGAGAGTTTTTGTGGGTACTCTGGGTTCTCATTGATTTTTCAAAGGCTTGAAAGGTCGATTGGAGTTGGGCATCAAGAAATCAATTACAATTTTACATTTGCTTGTTTCTGCAGCATCTCTGGTTTTCTCTTTGTTCCTAGAGGCCATCCCTTTACATTTCCATTGCTGCCTAACACACTACCTTGAAATGAAACGCCTGTCAGTAACTATTTTATGTCTTAAAACTGTGTGGGTGTAAAAGTCAGGAAAGGGTAATTATTCTGCTCCTGGTGGCATTATCTAAAGTTACTATGTGATATTTCAGCATGGCAGCTGGACTCAACTTTTATTTTTTTGGTAGCAGGAGATTGAATCCAGGGGCACTCTACCACTGAGCCACATCTCCAGCCCTTTTAAATTTTTATTTTGAGATAGGTTTTTGCCAGAATTGGTGAGGCTGGCATAAATGTACAATACTCCTGCCTTAGCCTCTTGAGTTGATGGGATTACAGGGATACACCATTATGCCCAGCTGGACTGGTCTGGAATGTCTAAGCTGACTTACAGGGGCCTTAAGGGGACTGGAAGCTTGGCTCAGCAGAGTGGCCCTCCCTCTCTGTGTTCCCCCCAAGACAACTTCTTTTTTTTTTAAAATATCTTTATTTAGTTTTTTTAATTGGCGCTGGGGATTGAATCCAGTGCCTCTTGCATGCTAGGCAAGTGCTCTACCATTGAGCTACAACCCCAACTCCCCCAAGACTTCTTCATGTGGTGTATCCAGTGGTAGTTGGACTTAAGTGGTTACTTGGGGGTTTAAGAGCTAATGTTTGAAGACATAGAAGCCTCCTGGGCCTGCCAACTGGTACATCTTCTGTACTCTGTTTCAGTGAGTCAAAACCTGCCTAGATTCAAGGAAGGGGGCAGGAGTGTCAAGATGGAAAGCAGTTAAAGAACTTGTGGCTGCCTTTACTACAGTAGCCAAGCTATTATTAATTTAGCTTTTAAGATCCAGATGTGAGGGCTACTTGGAGCTAGGGTGGGAGGAGGGAGAGGAGGGAAAATCCACCAGTGGGTAGAGGACTTTGGCAGGGTTGGCCAGGCCTGGGGATCATTTGGTACACTGTGGGGGAAAGACCAATGTCTCCTGGGTGGGCAGTTATGAAAACAGCTTGGGTCAAACTTAAACATTGTGGCCTACAAAATGAGCAGATGATGAGGTTTTGACTCAAGGATGTGGGATTAGATGGATTAGTCCAGGCTTGAAGCTCAGGTTGCTTCTGCCCTCAGGGTCACCTGGGAGAGGCAGGGGCTGCCCTTGGCACAAATGGCCTGCTACCTCTGCTTCCCAGACTCACTCACTGAGTACCGACCCGGCAAGTGTGTTAGACATGTTATTTCTTGTCATCCTCATAAATAGCTCTTGGAAGGGGTTGTTAGATGAGTAAGCCCCAAAAAGTGAAGTAACTGCTGTTAATCCTGCAGCCACTAGTTGACTTGTGCTCGGCAGAACTGGGACTTCGAAGGAGGTCTCACTTCAGGGTCAGGACTTTTTTTTATAGTTCTCCAGTGTGTCTTGGTGCAGCTATACTTGAGGTTCACCTGGAGAACTTAATAGATAAGTAAATATCAGTGCCTTGGCCCTACCCCAAAGATTCTCATCCTGATGGTCAGGGTAGAGGCCGGGCATCTGCATTTTTTAAAAGCACTATAGGAGATTCTGTGTGCAAGCCAGTATCTGAAGATGCCTTTTTGCCAGTTGGGACTTGGGGTACAGGGTATGTTGTGTCCTGACCATCACCTTTCTTCCCTCTGCAGGCCTCGTGAAGGACGCGGCCAGGCCTGCCTACTGGGTGCCCGATCATGAGATCCTGCACTGCCACAATTGCCGCAAGGAGTTCAGCATCAAGCTCTCCAAGCACCACTGCCGTGCCTGCGGACAGGGCTTCTGTGATGAGTGCTCCCATGACCGCCGGGCTGTTCCCTCTCGTGGCTGGGACCATCCTGTCCGAGTCTGCTTCAACTGCAATAAAAAGCCCGGTGACCTTTAACCCCAGCTCCCTCTTTCCGAGTCCTTCACAATTCCTTAGGTTCTCAGGGTTAGAAACAGAAGTCTCATTGAGGTAGGCCCTCCTCCCAGTCACCTGTTGTGGTATGTGTTCTCTCCTCTCCTCATCCTTGGGCCACTTTCCCTCTGTGGGGGTGAGCCTGACGGCAGGCCCGAAGGCATAAACCCCTCAGGGCAAGGGACCGAGCAGCTCTAAGCAAAGGGGCGTGAACCCAAATCCGTTGCATTTATTTCAGTTAAAAATAATAAATATATATATATATATATATATAGACATATACATATGAAAGGAATTTGGGAGTGTATTGAGGCTGCTGCTGGCTGTGAAGACTTACCCCAGTCTGTCCCCACTACAGGGATGGGATGGCAGTGGCAGCAGGTCTTCCCCACAAAGCCAAGCCAGGTCCAGAGCCACTGCGTTGCTGGTCGCCTTTTGCTGCTTCTCTCCAAGCCTTGGCAGCCTCCCTTTCCTGGCTTTTCCCTTCCGGCCCCCCAGCTGCCTGGTTGGTGGGTCTCCCAGCAATGCCTACTTGAGGCAGCCTGAAGGGAATTCTGCTTGGGCCCTCAGGGAGCTGAATCCCAATTCTTGGATTAAGCCTGTTTTAGAGACGAACCAGCTTATTGTGCGGGTCTTAGGGGTGTGTGGAAGGTCAGAAGTTGGGTCTTCAGTCCTGAGAAGTCAAGTTCAGGTGCTGTGACGTCCCTTGTAGTTGGGGAGATTCCCAAAGGACTTGGGCCTTCCCCAGCAGCCTTTCCTGCTCCTTAATTCTTCTGTTTCCACTAGGCTTTTCTGGAAGGCCGCATTTTTGCTCCTAAATCAAAAGCACCTGCTACCCTCCTCCCCCTTGAGCCTATCATCTGCTTCTGAGTGTCGCATTAGAATTTTTATTGCATAAAGTGTCTTAATTCTTTGTTTCCAGAAACACAGCCCCTCTAGCTATTGGAGGGGTAATCAATGAGAAACCTTCCAGGGAAACAGAGCACAGAATGGACTGTTAGTTGTTTTTTTTTAAAGTATATATAAATATTTCAACAGATCATAAAAGAAAAATTCTATCTCTTTGGTCCATGCAAGAGAAGTCAAATGAATGTTTCTCATCAAGAGCTTGGACATCTATACCTATCATGACTGGAAAGAGACTGTTGTGCCGAATCCTGTCATCGGGTGGAGTTTATCTTCAGTGGCCAAAAAAAGAATTAAAGCAACATAGTTCCTGACTGAGCTGGCTGGTGGGTGGAGCTTTGGGGAGGTGCATGGGCCGCCATTCCTGGCTTGAGTATCTGTGGGGTGTGAGCCCTGGAGTGAGTTAGTCTCAGACCTGCGCCTTCCTGCCTCCTGTGGACCAGCGACTGAGGCCCTACTTGAACTGTGTATTATCAAATTCGCCATCATAAAAGAATCTTCCTGCTGAACATGGACTGTGCTGATTCTTTCCTCTAATTCCATCAGTAAATCTTTTTCCAGTTGATGGGAAAGTATCTGGTGGCTTGCAGAGCAGTCGCAAAGCGAGGGGCATACATCTGGAGTGGTAGTGCTGCCTGCAAATGGTTGCTTGTTACTCTGACAAATAAGTGCTTTTCCCTAGAAAAAGTATAAGCAAATACCACAAAACCATTATCACACGGACTGGTTTTTTATTTTTTTTTTATAATTTTTTTTTTAATGGACTGGTTTTTTAATCTCAAAATGACAGTTTTTCCCCAGCTATTGGGCAGATAAGACAACTTGCCCCACATCAGTTTGCCCTCTGGGGCCAGAACTTTTTAGGGACTAGAGGACCACAGAGTTCCTCAGGCCTTGTCACAGCAGTGTGGAGGTTAAGTGAAGGCAGGGGATAGCTGTAGTAAGGCTGAGCTAGGCCAGCTGGGCACCAAGTGGGGGATTGCGTGGCTCAATGGCAGCAGCTTTTTAATTACTTGGGTTCTCTGGGTTCAACTTTGGTAGCCATCATGCCAGGGTCTTAGGGGAATCCTCTCTCAGAAAAGACTGGGTGTTACTCCTCATTTCAATGTCAAGATTTAATATAGGAGTTATTAGTGACCTTTTAATGTGGAACTTCCCAGGCTTTATCTGATTCCTGTGTCGTCTACCATCTCCCCATTTTTGATGGCCACTGACACTTGTCTGTCCCTTCTCCTCTTCCTTGTTCCTGTTCTTTCCCTCATTTATTCTTTCCTTCCACACTTCTCTCATTTTTTGGATGAGTAGGGCAGGTTAGGGAGGGTTTGAGGAGAAGAGGTGAAAGGTGGTGACCCCATTAGACTTGGTCAGCAGTTCTGTCGTCAAGCTGGAGCACCCCTAACCCTGAGCATGTGAATGCTGAGCCATGTGGTCGTGACATTTCTAGCCCATCAACCTTCATAAGGCTCTTTAATAGAAATCGCACAGAAAAAGTCCCTTTTTATGCTAGTCCAATCAGTGGAGGAGAAGGGTACCAGTGTCAAGTAGGAGATTCTTTTCCTAGTCGCAATCCCAGTCTCAAATTAATGAGGTAAATGCAGGCTGAAAGCAAAGGAGGGGAAAAACTGGCTCACCTTAATTTTCTCCAACTCAACACCACAAAACCAACCAGCACCCAGATTAAGAAACATGGCTAGCAAGTCAGTGAGACCCTGTCTCTAAGTAAAATACAAAATAAGACTGGGGATATGGCTCAGTGGTCGAGTGCCCCTGAGTTCAATCCCTAGTACCCCCACCCCTGAAAAAAACATGGCTGGACTTCAAGTACTTCCTGTCCACCCCTACCCCCAGGAATAAGTACTGTCCTGATATTGAATAGCACAGATCAGTTCCCCTGCCGTTGCTGGGGAGGTGCTACATGAACATTTTAAATAACTGAACAACGGCTTATAGGTAGTGAAGGTAGCTGAACCTCGTGAGCTGTAGCTACAAGTTTCATCTTTTTTTTTTTTTTAAGAGACAGTGTGAGAGAGAGAGAATTTTTTTAATATTTATTTTTTGGTTTTGGGCGGACACAACATCTTTGTTTGTCTGTGGTGCTGAGGATCAAACCCAGGCCGCACGCATGCCAGGCAAGTGTGCTACCGCTTGAGCCACATCCCCAGCCCTACAAGTTTAATCTTGTGTGGCTGAACTAAGTGGCCTAAGCAGTGGGACCCAGTGAGAGCTTCACACATCCATTGGGTTTAATTGGCTGGTTGAATTATTTGGGAATTGGATTAGTTGCCTCTTCCAGGCACTTTTGGGAGGTTTATGAGGTTGACAGTTTGTCAATCATACTGGAAGGCAGGCCCTTGTTCATGTTCATGTCTTGCAGGAGACACTTGCTCAAAGAGGTTCAGAGGCCAAACTGCCTGGCAAGTAGGACTTGAGTTGTCACCTGGGTCCAGGCAGGCCTGTGGCCATGGCATTGTGAAACTTCTCCCCTCAATTTTTCCTTCCTCTTCAGATTATGAATTCTCTTCCCGATAAGAACAGGGTCTTTTCAAAAGGGGAAAGTTGAAAAGCCAAGGCTTCTACTGTTGTCACAGGTGGGCTTAGCTTTGTATCTATAAACTTTCCCGTTGTCCTCAGGTTTTTATGACAAGGACAGTAATCAAGTTGGTCTAGTATATACCACAAGAGCTAAGTTCCATTTGTTAAAAAATCCTGATATAATGGTAATTTTGCTACCATATTTGTTTCTTCAGCTTCAGAACTACCGTCACAGTGAAAATCAGCTTGTGTATTCTCATTAATGGAATTATTTTTAGTCACTGTACACAATCTGCATTTATTAAGTTGTGCCTGGTGCCTTTTAAAAATTTTATTAAACTTAAGTATCACAAGGGCTGGCGAGGTGGCACATGCCTGTAATCCCAATGGCTTGGTAGGCTGAGGCAGGAGGATCTTGAGTTCAAAGTCAGCCTCAGCAACTTCGTGAGGCCCTAAGCAACTTGGCAAGACCCTTTCTCAAAATAAAAATCAACCTCGGGGTGTGGCTCAGTGGTTATGCAACCCTGGGGTTCAATCCCAGGTCAAAAAAACAAAACATCTCAGACTCAGGTACTACATTTGACCAGAGCCAGCCATTTTACTGTTAAAAGACAAGCCTCAGTACTACATTATCATGCTGACACGTTTAGTTCTAGCCTGAATCTCTAAGGCTCTGGTCCCATCCTTAGTCTACTCCCTTCAATGTCCTGAAGAGAGGACAACTAAAAGAGCCTAAGTGGATTTCCTAGCCAATAAGTCACCTCAGTTCTAGCTGCTCTGGGCTTCTTTGTGATTACTGTGCCTTTTCTCAGATAATGATCTCTGAACAGTACTGTTAATATTGGAACAGCTTTGATTAAAGTGAAGTCAGAGCCTTGTGCTTCCTAAGCACATGCTCTACCACTGAGCTATACCACTAGCCTGAACCCTGGTTTGTCTGTAAAATGATGCTAACTTTATATTACTACTATTTTTCTTCCTGCCTCCTTTCTAGGTTATTATAAGGATCAAATCAATTAGGGATAAGTTCCTTATAAAATGTGAGACACTAAAAATATTACAACCTATAGTTCAACTATTACATAACCAGTCTGATATTCTCACCCATTTTCTGGATTTTGGTTCTTTGTAAGCTGTATGAGGCTTCTTGCAGGAAGTACATGGAACATTCAAGAGGATAAGAACTATGTTCCAAATGAAGCTGTGGCCTTTGGTCACAACCACCCCACAGTCCAACAGGAAGGGAGCCAGGGAATGAACAAGCCCACTTGATGTCCTCTTGCCCTTTGCATTCCTGCTGATTCTTCCCACTCATTGACCTGCCCTGCCTCTGGGGTTCAGGGAGCCCTCTAGTTCGGAGGTCAGTCTCCTGAGGCATGCATTTGAAGGCCAGATGGGCCCGAGGGCAGAGGGCAGCTCTCCAGCACAGTTACTAAAGTTGGTCTCAGCTGTTTCTTCTCTTATCCAGGATCTTAGAGGGCTGGGGATATAGCTTAGTTGGTAGAGTGCTTGCCTTGCATGCACAGGCCCTGGGTTCAATCCCCAGCACCCCCCCCCAAAAAAAGAACTGAGACTTCATTGAGGCTAAATTGCTGCTGCAGCAGCTCAAGCTCTCAGTCATCAGAAGTATCATCCACACCATAGTTCTTCCTACTTTATTGGTTGGTAGAAAGGCTTCTTAACACTGTATGAACATTTCACAAAGTACAGCTCTGAAATCACAAAAAGTCAAAATGGATCTTCTTTGACCTTGGGTCCTTGAATCTGACATTCAAGTTGCTATAACAAAAATAGAAGCTGCTATCCCCTACATTCTGGAAGGTGTTTCAATAAAGGCACTTTAAGGACTCTTTAAAACTAGCATTTAAAGAGATCCATGTTCCCTTCCAATGCATGAGTGCTAACAAAAGGAAAATCTCAGAGATCTACTGAACGGGCCATATTTAATGATATCACGTTTAATGATGAGACTTGAAGACATGACCTGGCTTTTCCTTTCCAACCCTGTTGGCTTTTTCAAGGACACTCAGGTCTTCCTGAGACCCCAGGCACTGACTACACATATTCACTAATCTCATCACTGGGCTTCTCCACAGGGCTTTTGGTAAAAGCAGCAGCTCTAATTTAGTTACTACCCATCTCCTTTAGTCCTTAAGACCAAAGGGAACTAACTATTTAAAGGCTTTCAACAAGAAGAGGATGTAGGTACCTTTTATTTTATGAAAAGGACTTTCAAGCTCTGTATGCCCACAATTTCACTGTAACAACTTTATTAGTGTATTCATATGGAACACCTAGCACCTTGCCCCTAGCAGCCAGAAGGATGAAGGATGTAATTTGTGTGCACAGCATCATTTGAAATGCCCTCATTAGAAGACAGGAGCAAAAAGAGGAAAAAAAAAAAAAAAAAGTCAGCCCTCATCAGCAGTGGAAATAAAGTACTCTTTACTCCTTTTAATTCAAATCCACACTTTTGCAGGCGGATCCCTACAGAATCAGCTGTAGGAGAAACAGTAAAGATCCTGCCGGACAGCCATGAGCAGCCCTGGTGCTCCCCGGGAGCCTCCAAGCCGAGAAGAGAAGGCCACACTGGGGATGTCGGCCTTGGAGGTGGGATATGGGGAAGGTATGGTTCTGAGCAGGTGGGCATCATGGAGGCTCCAGATTCTTGTGTAGCAGTCCTGGCCCACTGAGAGACAGAGAAGACACACTGCAGGTTAGCAAGAGAATGCAAGGATAAGCTTACCTACAGGTACATCCCAGTTCCTCATGATTTACCAGGACCAAATGTGATTTTATATGAACCCAAACACAAACGTGTTAATGGAATGTATTTCTACTTCTAGTATGTATTTTTTTAAATTCCTTTTTTAGTTGTAGTTGGACACAATACCTTTATTTTAGTTTTTTAATGTAGTACTGAGAATTGAACCCAGCACCTCACACGTGCTAGGCCAGCGCTCTATTACAACCTCGGGCCCCTAGTATGTATTTTTTAATATCAAAATCATGAGTCACCATGGTGCTCTAGAACCATTTTGCAGGTATTCAACATGATTAGCTGCACTGGCTCGGCAGGCACCCTGGCTCTCAGGAGGGGATTCTGCTTCTCTTTGTGTCAGAGGCTGGTCAAGTGGGAGCCCAGCCCACCTGGTCTATGAAAGGAATCTGGTTTCCTTTTTATGAAATGCTAGCCAGGAAGATCTCAACTTCATTACATCCTGGGGACAAACCAGATGATAGCTCTTTCCTGAGTTTTTTCTAGTTGAACAGTTCAAGTTCATAATCCAGGTTAAAGTCTTCAGGGCTCTAAGTTCTACGCAATCTGACACTAACACAGTGGTTATGGCAGCCAAGACATGTATCATGTTTCTGGAAATCAGGAGGAGGAGGGTGGACCTTTGGTTGCCACGGGTTTCATACCAACCACTCAAGTCTCTAAGACCATAGATGCCATCTCAGTCAAGGATGAACTCGGGGTGCAGTTTACATTGCAGTTAGTGGCCTACCTGTACCTGTCTCTCTCTAAATGTTTAGCTCATGGTGGGCACCATGGCATATGCCTGTGATTCCTTTAACCCAAGAGGCTGAGGTAGGAGGGTTGCAAGCTTGAAGTCAGCCTGGACAATTAAGCAAGATACTGTCTCAAAAACAAACAAAAAAAAGAGCTAGGGATGTTTCTGTGGTACATCACCCTTGGGTTCAACCCCTAGTACTGCAAAACAAAGCCAAACAAAACAAAATTGGCTCTTCCCTGTTACCCAGCACACAGAAAAATCTTTTGAGATGAAAACTTACAGAAAGGTAAGGGCTGGGGCTGGGACTCAGTGGTAATGCACTTGCCTGGCATATGTGAGGCACTGGGTTCCATTCTCAGTACCAGGTATAAATAAATAAAATAAAGGTCTATCAACAACTAAAAAAATATTAAAAAAAAAAAAAAAAAGAAAGAAAGGTAAGTGTTGATGTTGATGAGAATAATAAGAAAATTCTAACAAAGTGATACTGCTTAGTCACAGTAAGTTTTAGGGGAAATAAGTACTTATAGGAACAGTTGTTTGGTAGCTAGACAGCTGCTTCTATTCTACTGATTCTGGAAGGTGTTAAAGGGCACTACTAGAAAGAATGGGAATAAGTTTTCAGACAAAACTGCATGATGGATACACTGACCTGATGAGCAGACTTGCACCCTAACCCAGGTCCTCCAGCTGCCGTCTTGCTGCACCTCACCTGCCCATCACAGTGATGTCTGCCCACTGACAAGGGCACTGTCCATATGCTGGCTGTTTAAACTGCTGCTTACTAACACCCAGCGCCGCCACCTCCCCTCCAGTCCCTATCCCACTTTCCACAGTCCTCATTAGGCAATTCTGGTTTTGATTTACTTCCCTTTTCTGTTGCTTAACATACTGATGAGATGGAATCTCCCCTCCTCCGAGTACCTACCTGCCACCACGATTCCTTCTTCCTCGTGTACATGCAGGGGCAGGTAGGCATACTCATTCACGTGACCCTCGTACTGTCTTATACATTTGGTGGTCCTCAGGTCCCACAGCTTGATCTGTGGGAAGAAGCACAAGGTTGTTTCCAGTGGCCTCTTCAGGTTATGAGGATCGGCACCTCTAACTCCTGAGCCACCAAAGTCACATGACCAAAGATTCTTTCTCACTTCTAAGCCAGACTAAGGTCATGAGGGTAGTAAAGGAACTCCCCACCGGAGAGCCTATAACTTCTCCCTGCCTGGTGTCCTGGAACCCCTTGGTGTGGCAGGGTTACGGGCCAGAAGCCCCTGGGGCTTCAGGATGTCAGAGTTCCCCTACCTTTCCTGCCATGTCTGATGCCATCAGACATTGCTCTTCCTGGAGGATTTGCATAGAGGTCACTGCTGAGTCATGGAACAGGCGCGTGGCTTTCCAGCCCTTGCCTTGACTTCGAGAACGCAGATCAATGGCAAAGATCTCTCCAGAACGAGAACCATTAAATAGCAAAGGAGTCTGTGGAGAGAGGGACCGCTCAGTGCCCGCTGTACACACCTCTCCCTGAGACTGGGAAGGGCGTGTCTTCCTTTCTCTCCCCACCCCAACCCAGCCCCTGGTGTGGCAAAGTTGGGTCAGTGAGAATGCAGAAGAACTGGACCCCATGTTCCTCTAGTGTCCTTGTGAGAAGCCCACAGGTGCTTGGAGGTGGTCCCACGGTCCCCTTAGGTGATAGTACACTGTTCCCAACAAGGTCTTTGGCAAGAAAGTAAGGCAAGGAGCATGGAGTAGAAAGTGGAGATCAGGTGAGGTGTGTGGTCCCCATGAGAGGGCAGAAGGCTGGGGAGGTCTGAATGGCCAACTCTATACTTACTGCTTACAGCAGGTCAGCAGACTCCCTCCTCTTTAAATAAGGATTGCACATTTTTTTCTCCTTGGGTACCAGGGGATGAACTCAGAGGAACAACCACTGAGCCACATCCCCAGTCCTATTATTATTATTATTTTGTATTTTTTATTTAGAGACAGGGTCTCACTGAGTTGTTTGGTTCCTTGTTTTTCTCTGAGACTGGCTTTGAACTTGCAATCCTCCTGTCTCAGCCTCCCAAGCTGCTGGGATTATAGGAGTGCACCCCTGTGCCCGGCACTTTTGACAGGGAAAGTCTTCGAAATAACAGTAACCACTGAGCAGAATCCTCAACCCTTTTTATACTGAGACAGGATCTTGCTAAGTTACTGGGGCCTTGTTAACTTGCTGAGGCTGGCCTTGAACTTGTGATTCTACTGCCTCAGCCTTTAGAGTCACTGGGACTTTGAATCAGCAATTGAACCCAGGAGCATTCAACCACTGAGCCATATCCCAGCCCTTTTTATTTTTTACTTTGAGACAGGGTTTTGCTAAGTTCATTAGGCCTCACTAAGTTGCCAAAAGGCTGGCTTTGAACTTGAGATCCTCCTGACTCAGCCTTCCAAGCTGCTAGGATTACAGATGTGTGACACTGTGCCCAGCTTAAATTTTCATTTTTAAATATATAACTTGAAAACTGTATATGAAACTAGTTAAGTGCTAAGAATCAGTATGAATTTACACATTTTATTTCTGAGGTGCTGGGGATGGAACCCAGGACCTTATAAATGCTAGGTAAGTGCTCTACTCACTGAATGAACTACATCCCCAGCCCCAACATTTTGAAAATGATTTGTCCTGCTGGCTAATCCAAATACTCAAGAACTGCTAACAATTCTTTTAAACAGGAAGTTGATTAAAGCCAGCTTAGGCAGGCCTTTGTGGATCAGCCAACTTTCCCTCGGCTCAGAAACAGTCACATAGTAACCCATTAATCCTTTCTGACACTCTTTTTCCCCCTGTAACAGAGGAAGGACGAGATGCTACACCAGGGAATCCAACTCCAGCAAACTTTGGGCTGTGGGGAAAACTTCCTGTGACACTCTTTCCAATCCAACCAACCATGACAGCAAACTGCTGGGCCAAGACATCACTGTTGGTCCCATATGTCTGCCGGTGTCCTGTCACCACGTTGGTCAACAGCACCCGCCGAGACAAACCTGGCAAAGACGGAAAAGGGTTGATGAGACAAGAGTCCCTGGCACTCTAGGGAGAGGGACTGCTGGATGGGGTTTGAAGTGCACTCCCCCACTCAGGGCACTGGGGGAGGCAGCTGGAACTCACCAGTACTAAAGCAGTTATTTGCCTGGATATTCAGGGACCATGCACAGGACCAGGCACCAGGGATCCGGAAACTGCAGAGCATGCCAGGCCGGTCTGTACCTGTTGGGGGGCATAAAATGTAAGGCATGGCTGCCCTCTGGACCCAAAGATCCCTCCATGCTGCCAGGCCAGTGACCACCGATCCAGGAAGCCACTGGGAAAAGCTGCTCCAGAGGGACTGCCATGGTTTGAGTATGTTCTCCTAAATTAATATTTGGAAATGTTCTCCTCACAGCTGATGGCATTTGGAGGTGGGGCTGGGAGGTAACTAGATAAATCAGGAAGATGAAGCTACCATGATGGGATTAGTGGATCTGTGAGGAAAAGAACCCAAGCTAGCAGATTTAGCTCTTTCACCATGTGAAACACTCCACCATGTTATGATGCAGCAAGGAGACCCTCGTCAGATGCTGGTGCCAGCCTCCAGAACGATGAGCTCCGTAAACCTCTATTTTTTAAAAATCACCCAGTCTGTGGCGTTTAGTTATAGCAACAGAAAACAGACCAAGGGTCTATACGATGATCCTTTTATGGGTTTTGTGGCAACAGAAAAAGAGACTAAGCTGGGCAACTGCTCAAGGGGTCCTTCTTTACAGTTCAGACTGTGGAGTGCACAGTCTTAACAGCTGTCAGGGAAGTCGCGTGGTGTCACAGAGAAGGTGGTTTCAAACTTGGCTCATGCTATAAAATGTGTGCTCAGGTGAAATATTTTAAAGGTAAACATTTGCTCTGATAAAACACAAATTATCACAAAATGAATACAGCCACATGCTCACCACCCAGGTTGAGAAACAAAACATTCCAGTACCCAGATGCTCCCTCATGTCCTTTCCTGGGTGCCAACCTCTCACCCCAACTCCTTCCCCGAGGGAACTGCTATCCTGACTTCTAAGGCTAAAAATAAGTTTTATAAGACAAATTCCACTCTCTCTTTGCCTCAGTTTTCTCATCTGTAAAATGGTGACAGGACACTCCTGCCACTGTACAACGGAAGGCCAGGCTCTGGTAACCACACGTGGCCTCAACTGACCCTCACGAACCTGATGGGGAATTGTCACCAATTTCCAGAGGTCAGGCCATCTGTTCAAGTGGGCAAGGGGCAGGCTGGGATTCGTGCCAGGTCTGCCAAAGCCTGCCCTCTCAGTGGCTGAGCATGTCTCATTGACCCAAGTTCTCCGAACGGCTGAAAACTTCATGTCCACAGTGCTGCGAGGAGCAGTCAGAATGCCTTCAGCCAGAACACAGGCAGTATCCCTGCCATACAGCAGAAGCTTAATAAATGTCTTCTGAATGATCAGTACAGGCAGCCCAAACCACAGGTTTGCTGTTTCACACTGGTCACACACACTTTAACTCTGCTTGGGCTACTGAAGTGACCCACAATGGATAAAAAGCAGGAAACATTATAAATATGCCTAGTACTGAACCTGGGACAGACTCATTACTCTCATGGTGCTGCACAGTGCACCTACCCATGCTCCAATCCGGGCTCACCCAGCCTCTGGCTCACACCGCCCCCGCCACATCCCATGCAGCTCCTAGAAGACAGAGGACAGAGACATCCCCAAGAGCTCTGGTTTCTTTCAAAGAAAAGGATCCCCGTACCTGGGTGACTACCTGCGAACAATGATGCTGGAAGCAGAGTGGCACAGCCTGGTGTCTCTGCGAGTCCCATGAGACACAGCCTGGAAAAAGCTGTTAAGGACAATACAAGGCTCTCCTCTGGGAGGACGGCCATCAGCACCCTTCAAAAAATTATAAGACAAAGTAGGACAGACACCCATCAGGCAGATCTAACATGTTTACATATTCCACATCTAGCTTCAGACTTTCTTAAAGGAATAAAATACACAGATATAGAGAAAAAAAAGTTTGTGTGGGGTGCTGGAGTAGTAGCTTAGTGGTAGAGCGCTTGCCCAGCATGGGCGAGGCACTGGGTTCGATCTTCAGCACCACATAAAAACCCATATAAATAAAATGTTAAAATGTATAATTTGAAAATCAGAGTACATTAAAAAAAAAAAAAAAGCCCTCTTTGACCCCTCCCCAGTCCACTTTTTCTCTCCCACCCTGGGAATCACTCTTCTCAGAGTGGAAGTAGTTCTTGTAGGCCATGCTCTAATACTTCCATGCACATGCTATTTGTCCATGGATAATATCACGCCGTTCATGCTTTTAAAACCAAGCACCACACAGAATATCCACACCAACTTTCCAATCTCCATTGTCTCCTGGGTTCACCTACACTGATTTGATGATCATCCTGAAGCATTCTAGTCCTGTCCTATGACCACACAGCCAACTTGTAATGGCACACTCCTTTTCTTGGCCTCTCTTGCAGTTCCATCCTGGCACCTTCAGATGTGACCAACTCAGCTAGTAAGTTTTTCTTTGGCTCGTGGCCTCTCTTCCATGCCTGCTGCTGAAGTTCATGCCCTCACTGCCATTCTTGTAAAGTCTAGCAACAGTCTCCACCTGAGGTCTCACCCTCGCCAGCCTATGCTTTCACATTGCTACAAGAGGAATCCCCACAATCACAGTCCTCTAGGGGCACCCCATGTCCTGAAGATTCCATCTTGGAAGGTCCAACTTAGGCAAACACCCATGGGATGGCAACCTGCTGCCCAACGCACCAAACCCCTTCCTGACTTATCCTTCGGCTGGGAACTCCATCCCCTCTTTCCCGTGTGGCATCTGTGTGGGCAATTCTTGCATCCCTGCCCCATATAATGCCTTCACAGACTCATTACCCACTGAGCTGCCTGTAACCTTATGAAGGGAGTGTAGATGCTCAGCAGATGTTCATTGAATGTGCACGCAAACCTAAATCATTGAAAAATGTAAACATCTGCAAAGTAACCAGGTCAACATCTCAACCATCTGAATGTGTGATGTATACGTGGCATATGGCCTTTGGTGGTAATCTCCATATTATGTTTCTAGTATATCCAAGCTGCTAAAACCACAAATGAGAGAATTGACACTGGACAGCTCAATTCCTTTCTAAATAAACCTTTTGCTCCTGGGCTGGGAGGGTGGGGAAACAGGAAGTTCTTACCCATGTGCACTTTCAAGTTACTGTGGCTGAATCCCAGGTTACACTCAAAATTTGTAACTATGTACTGGGGTCAGTACTTTAGGTTTACTCTTTAAAATATATATATTTTAGTTATAGGTGGATACAATGTCTCTATTTTACTTTTATGTGATGCTGAGGATAGAACCCAGTGCCTCACACATGGTAGACAAGTGCTCTACCTCTGAGCCACAGACCCAGCTCAATAGGTTTACTCTTAATTGATCTCAGGTTAAGCCAGTGGGGGAAGAAATGCAGAGTGCAGATCTGAACAAGGTGCCATTTTTGTGAAGGAAGAAATTTTTGTGAATCCTGGGAGAAATACACAAAAAAATCTTCAGTAAAAAAGCTGAAGATGACCTGGAATGACCAACAGGTATCAAGCCACTGCTCAAGCTGCAACAGACCCAATTTTATGGAGTTTTATCCTTCCTTGGCCCACAGAGAAACCTGAGTACCACTACCTTGCTTTCTCTCTACAAAGAATGGCATCTCCTATCCTCCAGTTAGATCAGTGAAATAAAGGTGGAGGGCTAGGGATATAGCTCATTTGGTAGAGTGCTTGCCTTGCATGCACAAGGCCCTGGGTTCAATCCCCAGCACCAAAAAAAAAAAAAAAAAAAAACAGGTGGTCTCACCACCCCTCTTGAGCTCCAGCAAACAACAGCCACATAAAACTGCAGTTCATAGAAACACATAGTTTTGTGCCAGGCGCAGTGGCGCGCGCCTGTAATCCCAGTGGCTCAGGAGGCTGAGGCAGAAGGAGTGCTAGTTCAAAGCCAGCCTCGGCAAACGTGAGGTGCTAAGCAACTCAATGAGATCCTTTCTTTAAATAAAATACAAAATAAGGCTGGGGATGTGGCTCAGAGCTCGAGTATCCCGAGTTCAATCCCCCATACCAAAAACAAAACAACCAAACAAAAAACCACACAGTTTTGTGCCTTACATAAAATTTATACCCAGATCATTAATGTACTTCAGCTTTTAAAATCCTTCAAAATGTAGTGCCAAGAAGCAAACTGAAAAAAAAAAAAGAGAGATTCTGATTCAGTTTTCATGTGGTGAGGACCAATGATGGGCAGAAGCTCTCCTAAGCACATTCACAGATATTAACTAATGTTAATTTCATGACGACTCATGAAGCTGGTGTTAAGTGCAATGACAGCTCACAGGTTTAAGAACTCATTGGTGGCTGGGAATGACAGCGAACGCCTGTGATACCACTGGCTTGGGAGGCTGAAGCAGGAGGATCATAGGTTTAAAGCCATCTCAGCAATTTAGGAAGGGCCTAAACAGCTTGGCAAGACCCTGTCTCAAAATAAAATATTTTGAAAGACTGGGATTATATTCAGTGGTTGAACATCCCTGGGTTCACTGCAGGTACCAAAAAAAGCCCCCAAAACCCAACTCCTTCATTATGGGCATGACCCAAGAACACACTCCACCAACATGTGGCTTTGGCTTTAGCAGATTTTGCTAAATGTGCACGCATACCTAAGTCATTAAAAAATGTAACCATTTGCAAATCAGCCCTCTGATTGGGTGATGCGTATGTGGCACGAGCAAGGTAAACTTAAGTCCTTTATAGCACCAAGAGCCTCCAGTGGTCCCAGAGGAAGGCCCAGGCATAACTCTGTACCATATGCTCCTAGCAAAGAAGCCCTGCCAGCTCTCAGGGGAGGCAGTAGCTTGAGTGGGGAGTGTTCTAGAGGAGGCAATCCCTAGGTCATCCTCCCCTACCCTGTGCCCCTATTAACCAATGCTTCCTTCCTTCACCTAAAGAGGCCTGGGGGCTCCTTCCCCAGGTTTGCTTTCTGTTTTATTTCTCCCATGAGGTACTGACACGGATGCTGAGTGTGTCCAATGACCCCAGAACCTGCAGCCACACAGCAGAGGCGGAGTAAGTGGCCTCTGGAGCCAGATTGACTGGTTTCCAACCTACTTCCACCACCTCCATGTGGAGTTCCAGAACAGTGTCTGCCAGGGACATCAATATCATCCCATGTTAATAGGAGCTCAACGACTGGCTTCTCTGTGCTCCATGGGAATTCTGACCATCTACCTAAGTGTCCTGTTTTCCTCTGAAGGGTGAGACATGAGTGCAGAATTCCCCAGCCCCCTGCACTAAGTTGTCATCTCACAAAGTCCACAGATGTTCAGGTCCACACAGGGCACAGATACCCGACAAACCTCTTCCCCTGGCAAAGGATACAGAATGTGGGAATCCAAGTGGTTCAGCGAGGCCCAGCACACAGAATTCACCTGGCAAGAAAGCAGGATGGAAAGACTGGTTTGTCTGCCAGCTCACGGAAAAGGCTTTCTTCTAGAATAACTTGTGGAGACACAGACTTATGACTTCTTTCTTCAGAAAGATATCACTCCTCTTAAAATGGGTTGGAACAAGCATTCTGAGGACAGGAGAGAGCTCCTAGCCCTGTTGGGCCTGGAGGCCACCAGAAAGGCCTCAGTCCCTTTGTGTCAGCACAGGTCCCACCCTGAGGTATCTGGCATCCCCTCTGGGCCAGGACCACATTCTCTCCAGTGGCAGGGGACAAACCTAACTCTAAAAGTATACCTTGCCTTACTTAACCCAGAAGCGATTTTCAATTTGTATGCATACCATGGCTCACGTTCTAACTGAACCAGAAGTTACAGCTTCTCTGAAGAGGTACAACATCACTGCAATCTAAAGGTTGCCCGGGACAGCGAAAAAGCTTTATATTTATTTCAATCCCAGTGCTGGCCACAGTCATGCAGCCCTCATCCCAGCAACTCTGCTACTTTAGACCAACTCCTGACCCACCTGCAGGGAGTGTCCTTACACCAGTGCTGCCTCAAGCCCATCCCAACCAGCTCAACTGATTTTTTCTTCCAACACAGAAACTCCTGGGTCCCCTCTACTCCCTATTGGTTCTCAGGAACTAACAAGCTATTTGTCCCTTGGGAAAATGAGGCAACTGTGCCTTCCCTTCTTCAAAAGTCATATGTCATCTCTGAATCTGGCCAACCACTGCAGTGCCCCTGGCCCAAAGGCAAAGTGGCTAGAAGGCTGAAGAGACAGAGGACCTACCTTCCGGTTGGTAAAGTAGAGGTTTTCGTGCATGTTCACCTTGGGCGTGGGGGTGTTCAGACCCTGCAGGCTGATGATGCCATACTTGGAGCCTCCAACCTTGACATCGTTCACTGTGAAGAGCCGATCACTGTTGGTATCTGCCTACAGGAGGGGATGGGCTGCAAGTGACCTCCTGGCCTCCAGGGAGTACATGTCCCCAGGTGACAGACAGCTCCTCTCTAGGAGCAACTGTGGACATGGCCTATCTTCCTTCTGCTCAGTGTAGCAATCTCTGAGCAAAGCTCCCAGGGTCTGGTCAGTCACTTAGGAGCACAGATGTGGATGGCAGGAGGGGGCATGGACAGAAGCCTGAGGTCTGCAGTCACCCACCCTGCTCAGAATTGAGCCTGAAGAGTTCTAGTGTCAGACCAGAGGAAAATAACCACAGGGCAGTCATGAAAGCCATGGAACCATGGAAAATGCTAGTTATAACCATTTATGGATAAAGAATGATACAAAATTCCATTCCTTATTACAATATACTATGATCACCAGCAAGAAAAAGCAATGCTGCAGGGGCTGGCAGAGCAGCTGTGTGGGAGAACGTGCGCTTAGCAGGTAATGGGTGTGGGGTGCCATGCCCAGCACTCTGCCAGTTGACTTGGGAAGAAGAGTTATATCCCTGCCTGAACCACTCCAGTGACTAGAATGTGATCTGAAAAAGTGCTCTCTGGGTGGCAAACTGCCTTTCTGGTCACACTTGCTGCCAGTCACCTGTGTCACAGGGTAATGAGGAAGATCTATCCCCAGCTGAATAAGGCGAAACCCAGCATGAGGTGCTCAGGCTAATAACGGGCACCAGACTCCACGCCAATCACCTTCATACCCCTCCCTGGCTTACCCTGCAGAAGGAGCTCTGGAGGGGAAACCAGTGCAAAAAAAACATTCTGATCGAGTTCAAATTATAGCTACAAATACAAAAGATGACGTCACAGCTGAGAATGTGGGCCCTGTTCCACACCCCCTAGGTGTGGGCAGGTCTTTTGCTCTCAAGGTGCCCTGGGGGAGGAGGACTCAGCATCAACCTTAAGGGTCAATCTCAAGGTGTTAGCCTCCAGCCCTGCCAGCAGATCACTGCTTCTCCTCTCCTTCTCCCAAGTTCTCATTTTGCCTCCAGGAAGGACGGGCTTCCCAGGCAGGCCATGCTCTCTTGAGCCCATGGAGCAGTGGGGCTCCCTCATTTGCTTTCTCTCTGCCAATATATCCTGGGGCCCCTGGACTTCAGCAGCTGGCTCTGGCTTCCAGCCCAGGCCCAATTAAAAGCAAAGGAAACCTTCCACTCCCTACAAATGATGTAATGGAGGGGTGCTGATCTATAGGCCCAGGGACACAGACCTGCAGGCCCTGGCCACTAACATCAGGGACGTTGAGAAAGGGAGTCATACTCTTTTGCATACTAGAACTTCACTTTTGGCCTCCAAACCTTGTCCTACTCTATCAGGGGTTAGAAGTCCCTGTTCCACCATGTACCTTTTCAATTGCACACACAACATAGCCAGGGAGAAATTATTTTGTAGGGATTTTTCCCCAAACTTTTTTTTTTTAATATAATTTCTTGATACCTTTATTTTATTTATTTGTTTTTATGTGGTGCTGAAGATCGAACCCAGGACCTTGCATGTGCTAGGTGAGTGCCCTACTGCTAAGCCACAACCCCAGCCCTTCATAAGGATTTTTAAGTCAATGTGTGGTTGGGCCCAGGCCCTATGTCAAATGACAGGGCTGAAGAAGGCTGGTGATGGCCCCAGCACAGCCTGCCCAGCCAGCTCAGCGTCTGCTCCCAGGGAGGTGAGCCGGTAGGTTCAAGTCATAACACACAGAGGACACCACCTGCTCTCATAGCAACTGGCTTCTACACAATCAGGCTTGAAGACCACCAGTACTAAGCCGTGAAGTGTCCAGAGGCAGCCATACCTGGCATCCTGAGACATCTCCTTCCCACTCACCAGGATGAGGTTAAACCGGTCGCTCGCCAAAGCAGAGGGATCTGAACTCTGAACCTGGACCTTTTTCCTCTCCATGCAGCTCACTCGCAGCTCGTGGGCTAAACTACAAAGGCAAATGGAAGTGTAAGGAGAGTGTGGGTGCCACAGCTAGCCATCCCTGAAGACTTGGGGAACCAGGTATGGTGGGGCACACCTGCAGTCCCAGCTATTTGGGAGGCTAAGGAGAGAGTCCAGGAGCTTGAAACAAGACTAGACTCTATCTCAAAATAAATGAATGAATGAATGAATGAACAAATGAATAAATAAATAAGGAAGATTGGGGACTTCTGTTCTTTCTGCCTACTTCTTCGTATTATTTCAGCCATGGAGCTGAGTAAGGTTCCTGATAATCTGAATTTTAGTTTTCACTCAGGAAAATGCAAACAAAATACTGGGTAGACCTCCTTGGATTCAAAGAAAGTTAGAACCTAAGGGATTTATTTTTAGATCATCTAGTATAATTCATTCTCTTGTAATAATGAGAATGTACCTAAGAGTAAGAGATGAATAAGAAGCTGAAGGGCAAAGGGTGACCAAGAGGAGGCCAGGTTGCCCATCTACCTTCCTGTTCCCTCCTCCCTCCACAGCATGGCCATTCTCCACTTCACATAGAAGGGATCTTTCTAACAGGCCTTTATCTCTTTTGCCCTCAGGAGGAAATACAGGAAGCTCTCCCTGCCCCATACTCTCCAAAAGGTACCACAGTAGTTCACTGAAGGGGCCTCTTCTCCAAGGTGAGGGGACTGCCCCAGTGAGCCCCCTCAAACACCAGCAGCAGGCAGCAGAATGCAGGGCTTCTGTGCTTGGGTGCTAGAGTCAGGCAGATCCTGTCTTTCTAGCTCTACCTGGAGCAAACCTCTCCACTGAGCCTCCATTTCTCAGGTAATGGGAGGCATGTTTCAGCCTATCTCATGAGTTTTAGTTAGAATTACATCAGGCATCCCAATTGTTTGTTTTTAAAACAATCCTGGGGATGGAACAGGGCCCTGTGAATGCTAGATAAGTGCTCTATTACTGAGCTATATATACCCCCAGGCCTTTTTTGAAATTTTATTTTGAGATGGAGTCCCAGTAAGTCTCTGAGGCTGGCTTTGAAAATATGATCCTCCTGCTTTAACCTCTCAACTAGCTGGGATTACAGGTGTGCACCACAGCACCCAGCCACCACACATGTATGCATTTAAAAATCCATTTCTGGTGACCCCTCATTAGAAGAGGAAGAGAAGGAAGCAGAACTCTCACAGGAATAAAGCTGCCACAAGGATCACAGAGTGAACATCCTGAGTCATTTCTGTCTAAATTCCCTCTCCTCCTGGCATCCTGCAAGGGTCTCTCTCCCTCGCTCTGTAAACTAGAGCTCTCAACTGTGAAGTGTCTTCACAGAGCAGCACACGTTCTCCCCTGACTGGATTCTTGGACCATGGAAGAAAGAAATGGGAAAGAACATTCACTGAGAAAACAACAATGAGGCATTATCTTACCGGCAATAACTGGTGACATTGAGGAAACCCAGACGGCTTTTTTGTAGGAAAGAAGATGCATTAAATCCCATTCTGGCTACTTTCTAAGGAAAAAAAAAATTTTCAGTGAAGATTTATTTGTGTATAGAATAAAAGAATTTTAGTTCCATAGATACAATGAAGAAAACAGGTTTTTGGGCAAAAATTAGATGCGTAAAAGTCTGACGGTGTCCTTTGAAATCTCTTCTCCTTGACAAGGGGAAATACCAGCACTGGAAGGCTTGTATGGGTGACAGAGTCTGCACCACATCTCGGTCCAAGCCCTGTCAACTTACATCTGGGGAGATGAAGCCACTGTGCTGGTGGATACAGAGTGGACCAGACACTCAGCTTTGAGTCATGCACTGTGCACCCAGGGAGAACCCAGAGGCCAAGCATTTTCCCTGCCACTGGCCCCACACTAACAAAATATCCCAGCATCTAGACCTGTCTTCAAGACTGCCTGTGGCGGTGCTGGGGTTGTGGCTCAGTGGTAGAGCGCTCGCCTAGCACGTGTGAGGCCCTGGGTTCGATCCCCAACACCACATAAAAATAAGTAAATAAAATGAAGGTATTGTGTCAAACTACAACTAAAATTTTAAAAATAAATAAATAAATAAAATGGAGGTATTGTGTCCATCTAAAAAAACGATTGCCTGTGGCATCCAAATCATACCCATCAAAATCCTGCACTGTCTATTTAAACTACATCACTGAAATTCTATCATGCAGTTTCCCAAGAGTCTCCCAAGGAAGGACATGTTAGAATCACTGATGAACAAACAGGAAGTGGGGGGCAGGAGATTGTTGGCTGTTCTTATTCTCTTCATCATTTCCCTGTCAGGGAAAATCCAGGGCCCTCCTCCCCCGAAGTGTCTATGCCTGGTGTTAGGGCCTCCTTCAGCCACAGACAGATGTTGATAGAGGGCAGGGGCTGGGGGGCGGGGGGGCAGGGGTGCAGAACCCACCTTTTTCTGCTCATCCTCTTCTAGAAGCTTCAGTCTTTTGCTTTCCATTTCCTTTTGCCGGATGCTCTCCTTCGTGAGGGGGTTGCAGTTGTTGTGCCCAGGCAGCAAGCGGAAGTAGCGTTTCTTTTCAGGGTCAAAGTAATAACCTGGCAGATCTTGAGCAAAAATGAATGAATGAATGAATGAATGAATAAACAAACTCACCAACTTAAAATGCTATGAACTGACCCACCTGGTAAGGAGCCTAGGGGCTTGTCCCCCACCCCTCTCAGCTGTCTGTTTCTATCATGGACTGAGTTCAGTCCTGGGGGAGACCATCTGTCCTAAGGTCACTGTTCCTGACAAGCCCAGTTCCTTCCTTAAAGGTTTCAATTTGTTCCTAGAATTTCCTCCAAGTTAGGAATGGGCTGTGGTTCCCACGCAAGTGAAGAGACACAGACACACATCCTTGGCTGGAAGGAAGGGCAGACAGGACAGACAGCAACAGACAAGGCAGCATGAGCTTTCCTTTCCCCAGGCTGGGCCAGAAGTCCTACATAGCAGCCTGCTCACCTGGCACTGAAGAAGCCCCAGTCGTGCTGGATGAGGCTGACGTTGACGCAACCTCGCCATCCTCATAGTCGGAGTCCTGCAGGTCCTGGGGCACCTCTGTGGCGTACCTGCTGACAGACGTGTGTGAAAGGCTGAGTTTCCAACGATTCTGACTGGGTATTGTTCAAGCAGCTCTTCAGCCTTTACCCCCAACCTTTCTGATGACTTGGGGGAGTACTAACTCCCTACATACTCCAAAATAAGGGCCAGGTTTGGGTTTATAACTCTTTCCGGTTTTAAAAAGGGGATGTATGTCATGGTAATTCCTTCTTTTTGTCTCAACTTCAGCACTTTCTGAGGTCTTCTGGAATTTTCCAGATGAAAAAAAGAACAGAAACCTTTGCCAACTGGGCTCATTTTGTCAGCTTAACAGTAGTGCCAAACCAGGTGAATTTCATTTTTAAATTTTACCTGACCAGCCAGCCAACCTTATAGATGGAAAAACTGGGGCTTGGGAAATAGAGGTAACGTGCTTAGTAATCCTGAGACCAAGTCATGGCTAAAACACTGGATTTGTAAAGCCACAAGCGGCTTCTGTGGCAATTATAGGCTGAAGGATATAGTGATAAACAAAAGACCCTATTTTAGAGTCTCAACAAAATCTACTTTAAAATCAAGAACTTCTGCCCACTATACAGTCTAAAAGTGAAAGAAACTGCAAAACTAGGATGAAGGAATGCAACATAAATCTCCCCAAAATACCAGGCTATGCAAAGTTTCAGGGAAAATTATTTAGTCCCCCTTCTCTGGCTCAGAGTTTCCTGAGGCAGCAGGAGGAGGAAGGATTAAGTGTTGTGAGTTTATGCTTCTCGTCCAAGGACTGCTGCTCCAGTCTTTCCACATGGAGAGCGGGTGGCAGTTCCCAGCAAGTTTCCAAGCCCTGCTATGCTGCCATGGCTGGGCTGGGCCTCGCACAGATCACACTGTGCTGCATGCTGTGCTCTTGTGGGAGGGCCTGGGGCCCCCAAACATATCCATGGCTCTCCTCACAAAACAGACAAACATTGGGCATGGTCCTAATCTTTCTACAATATGGGTCCAGGGTGAGGATTTACACCCCATGAGACCCATTGTGTGCTGCGGGCCTACTCAGAGCCAGACAACTACACATTCCCTTGTGAGAAGCTAAATGTGGAAGACTTTGAAATCGACAGACATTTGCAAAACCGAGGGCTGTATAGGACTTCCAGTGGCCAGGAGTCACAGAAGCCACCCTTGATTGCAGGGACGACCTCTCCTGGGGCAGGTGGGAGTATGCCGTTGTTTGTATTTCTTTCATGCAAGAAAATAAACAGAATGTGGAAAATGTTCATGCTGGGCTTTCAATTAGGTATAGTCTGAGTTTTATTTTCTAAGCTGGTGGGTACATGGTGTTCACTAAATTATTCTTTATACACTTACATATCTTAAGCACTATATTTTCTATATATTTATGTCATAGGTTTCCACAGATTATTTCCTTTGGCCAAAAGAAAAAGAATAATTTCCAAAATGGAGTAGCAGGTCTCCAGTTACGTCAGATAATGTCTACCTATGACCTATGGCTAATGCTCTGGCCAGAAACCACAGTCACTCTGGTAAGAAAGATTGGCCATACTTCCTGACTCCTCAGGGTGGAGGGCTGAGCAGTAGACGTCACCCACCCAGAAGCCTGTGAGAAGCACCGCTCTCCTCAGGCTCCACCTAGACTCATTTTGGGGGGGAACCCAGAGACATTTGCATGTGGGACACAGTGTGCTGGACAAGCCAGAGAGGCAATGGGCACAGACAGTTCCCCAGCCCCGCACTTGCCTCTGGCTAGAATGCTGTCGAAGCCAAGGGTTCTGCTGGCGGCCTCTTCTCCCAGGTCTTCTCCTGCTCTGCCAGCTGCTTTTACTCATTTCTGTTCCTACGAGAGAGAAGACGGCACCTGGGAGTGAGCATTTCCTCCTTGCTTCTTGGCAGTACCTTCAGGCTCAGAGTGGTTACACCAAAGCTGCCACACAAAGCCTTCCCTGTAAAGGGCTGTTTCTGGCACACTCCCCAAGTCCCTTCCCACCACCCTCAAGGGAGAACACAGGTCCCCAGCCCAGGGAAGAGATGGTGCAAGGCGTGATGTCCCTAACTTCTCTCCACTTCACAGATGCCTGCCTGTACTAATTCCTAACATTGTCCCTCACACAAACAGGTGTGTGTCCTGGCATTTTTCCAGGCACACTCATCCCACCTGGCTATCGATCTTATCCCTCCCCAGGGACTCTGCAGACGCCTGCTTAAAGTCTCCATCTCCTTAACGTGGCTCGTAAACATGCCCAGGTTTTTCATTTGTACATGCTCTATCTCAAGTCCCAAAGGAATGGAAGTGACCTACATGCACAAATTCCATGTCTTCATTTCCCACCATTCCTCAGCCTGCTGCGGCTGGGCCTCCCCCATCTCACCTTTCTGCTAAAATGCTCTTGCTGAGTTCTTAGCTAATGATCACCCGCTCTCCTCAGCCGGACTTGCTGCCACCTGTGACCCCACAAATTTCACTCTTCCTTTGCTGCAGTGTCTTTCTCCTGGTTCTCCTTTTCCTTGTCAAACTCTTCCTTCATTGGTTTCTCTTGGGTCACTACCCTGTCATTTCCACTGCTCTGTCCTAGATCCTCCTCTTTGCACACGTAACACCATCTCATCCCCAGACACAGGCTCGCCTCCAGCCCCGAGGGGCCCTGAGCATCAAGCTCCTTGGCTGTTGCCTCCTGTCTATTTCCACAGATGCGGCAGTCAACAGGGTCAACAGAGAATTCGCTTGCCATGTGTGAGGCCCTGGGGTCAATCACCAGCACCTGCACACAAGAAACCTATGCTTGCTCCCTAGACCCTAGCTCCCCAGACTGTTTCTCTCTTTTTTTTTTTTTATTTTTTAGTTGTCACTGGACTTTTATTTATTTATATGCGGTGCCGAGAATCAAACCCAGTACCTCACACATGCTAAGCAAGCACTCTTACCACTGAGCCACAACCCCAGCCCTCTTTTTATTTCTTAACATTTTTTTAATGTTAAGATGGACACAATATATTTAGTTATATATTTTTATGTGGTGCTGAGGATCGAACCCAGCACCTCACATGTGTGAGGAAAGTGTTCTACCACTGAGCCCCAGCCCCAGCCCCTTGACTGTTTCTCTTTTCTGTAAATAACATCACTGGCCGCTCCAGGCCAAAAGTATGATCATTTCCCAAACAATGAACTCCACATGTGTGGGTTTACCTATAATCAATTACACCCCAAAGAATACAGTTGTGTCTATTATCAGTTAAGTTTCAAGCTGAAAGGTGCTGTGCCCAGGAGGGGAAAGATATATGGTCAGTGTTACGAAGAAAAATAAGCCTTACTGACATGAAGTTTATTACTATTACCAATTCCATTAAAAGATCAATGTTTCTTTAGGGTGTTCAGTCTGTACATAAACGTCTATAGTTTCTTTTACTTCAGCACTAATGTGGAAACAGTTTAGAAAATATGCTGGTGAGTCCAAGACTTGACCTCATCCCTCAGAAGACAGGACCACACCTCCTACACTGTTATCCTTCACAGGGGCTGCACATCACAAGGACACAAAAGATAATAAAATTACTGCAAGTACAGCTTTTGGTCAGGGAGAATGTTTCTAAATCACCAACTCAGGCACTCCAAGAGAATAAGGTGGGCTAACGATAGCATGCACTGATGTTATGGGCAAGATCAATACAGTGATCTGAACAAAGCTGTGGGTGGTGGCTCACAAGTGCAATCCCAGCCACTTGGGAGGCAGAGGCAGGAGGATTGCAAGTCTGAGGCCAGCCTTGGCAATTCAGTGAGACCTTATCTCAAAAAAATAGAAATGGGCTGGGGATGTAGCTCAGTGATAGAACACCCTGGGTTCAATCCCTAGTACTGCCAAACAGAAAAATTACCTGGTCCAAATCAGTGGGAAATTGAGAAGTCCTGTCTGGGCAGGAAGCATTCAGTAACAATCAATAATGAAAACTGAATGAAACCCTGCTCTGCGCGGTACACACTATAAAGTTGGGTGTGTTGTAAAAGGCTGAGCCTGGCTTTGCCTTTCAGAAAATCTTTTAAATTCTTCAAGGTATGAAGAATCAGTTCTCAGAAACTGCTATCCCGCAAAGAAATCTCAAAAAATACATAAACCCGATTTGACATTTTGGAACATGATTAGGCAATATTTATAAAGTAACTTATAAATGTACATGCCTTCTTCCTTCTGGGAATCACTTTTTTTTTTTTTTAGAATTTTTTAATTTTTTTTTTTTTAGAGAAAGAGAGAGAATTTTTTAATATTTATTTTTTAGTTTTCGGCGGACACAACATCTTTGTTTGTATGTGGTGCTGAGGATCGAAACTGGGCTGCATGCTACCGCTTGAGCCACATCCCCAGCCCTCTCGGAATCACTTCTAAAAAAAAAAATTCAAAAGACTGTAAAAGTTATCAGGGTGTGGCAGTCGGAGCCCTTAGTCCCAGCCATTTGGGAGGCTGGAGGCTGGAGGCTGAGATGGGAGGACTGCTTGCGCCCAGGAAATGGAGGCCAGCTTGGGCAACACACAAAGATCCCATCTCAAAAAAAAAAAAAAAAGGTCACATAGAAGAAAGATATTCACTACAATTTCCAGATCATCTTATAAGGCTGGTATTATCCTGATTCCAAACAAAAACATCGGAAAACTATAGATCAATATGCCTTATGAATGCATCAACAAAAATCCTCAATAAAATGCTGGTAAAACAAATCCAGGATCAAATAAAAAGGATTATATGGGTGGTGGGGAGACAATGAAAGAACTTTGGACTGTGCAGAGGGGAGTAATGGGAGGGGAGGGGAGTGGGGGAGGGGAGGGGAGGGGGGGGGGGGGGGGGTGGGGATGGGAAGGAGGGTGGAATGACAGACATGATTACCCTATTTATGGCACCCTCTTCAGCCAGAGGTAGAGAAATTGTGCTCCATCTGTATACAATGTGTCAAAATGCATTCTAATGTCTTGCATAACTAATTAGAGCAAATTAAAAAAAAAAACATTAAAAGCATTATACACCATAACCACATGAGATTTACCCCAGGAATATTAGGCTGGTCAACCTATAAAAATCAATCAATATAAAACACCAAATTAATAGAAGATGGAGAAAAATCCCATATGATTTTTCTCAATTGAAGCAGAAAAAGCACTGGGCAAAATCCAACACCCTTTCATGATAAAAACACTCAACAAAGTAGAAACAGAGGGAACTTTCTCAACCTGACACAGTGTCCACAAAAGCTTCACAGCTAACATCATTAACCATGGAAGAATGAAAGCTTTCCCTGATATCAGGAATAAGACAAGATGTCTGCTCTCCCCACTCTCACAGAAATAAAAAGCAAACAAACAACAAAGGAAGTATCTTTGCAGTAACATAATCCTACAGACAATCCTAAAGAATCTGCCACAAAACTAACTGGCGCTAATCAACAAGTTCAGTAAAGCTGCAGGCCACAAGATCAATATTAAAAGGAAAAAAAAAAAAAAAAAATCAAGGATATAGCTCAGGGGTAAGTGCACTTGCCTAGCCATGTCCAAGGCATTGGATTCAATCCCCAGCATCACAAAAAAAAAAAAAAAAAAAAAAAAAAAAATCAATTAACATTCACTATCAATAAACAATCCAGAATGAAGGTAAAGAAAAGTTACATTTATAATACCATCAAAAAGAATGAAGTATTTAGGAATATATTTAAGAAAATGCATGACTTTTACTTTGAAAATCATAAAACATCAGGGAAAGAAATTACAGACTTGCTGCAATCTCTATTAAAATGCAATCGCATTTTATTTTTTTTCAGAAACAGATAAGCTGATCCTAAAGTTCCTATGGGAACTCAAGGGACCAGAATAACCAAAATGACTTTGAAAAGGAATAATGTCAAGGGATTCATGCTTTCCAAGTTCAAACTTCCTACAAAATTAATCAAGACACTGATACTGGCAGAAAGAAATGCAGATCAAGGGAACAGAACTGAAAAACACAAAATAAAACCATATATCTAGTGCTACTTGGTATTCTACAAAGATGCCAGAACCATTCAAGAGGGTAAAGAATTAATCTGTCTTTTCTTTCCTTCCCTTGTTGTGTGCATGTGTGTGTGGAGGTCACTGGGGATTTAACCCCTGGAGCACTTTACCACAGAGCCACATCTCCTATCCTCTTTTATTTTTATTTTGAGACAGATTCACAGCTGCCTAGCCTCAAACCTGGATTCCTCCTACCTCAGCCTCTCAAGACATGTGCCAAAATTTTCTTTTAAAGGTGGATATCTATCCCAGCTGTTCAGAAGGCTGAGACAGGAGGATCAGGAGTTCAAAGCCAGCTTCAGCAATGGGAGGGGGGTGTGTGAAGTGCTACACAACTCAGTGAGACCCTGTCTCTAAATAATATACAAAATAGCGCTGATGATGTGGCTCAGTGGTTGAGTGCCCCTCAGTTCAATTCCCAGTCCTCTCCCCAAAAAAGTAAGTTGAGCTGAGTGCAGTGGCGCACATCTGTAATCCCAGTGGCTCAGGAGGCTAAGGCAGGAGGATTTCAAAATCAGCATCAGCAACTCAAGGAGGCCCTAAGCAACTCAACTCAGTACCAAAGGGGCCTCTAAATAACTATTAAAAAACATGGGCTGGGGATGTGGCTCAGTGATTAAGCATCCTTAGGTTCAAGCGCTGGTATAAAAAAAAAAAAAAAAGTTGACAAGTGCAGAAGGATAAGAGAGAAACAAAAATGCAGACAATTCAGTGTAGAGTTCTGTTTAGTGAGGGAAAAAAAAAACTTTAAAAAAGTTTTCTATTAAAAAATTTATAATAGGGCTGGGGATGTGGCTCAAGCGGTAGCACGCTCGACTGACATGTGTGCGGCCCGGGTTCGATCCTCAGCACCACATACAAACAAAGATGTTGTGTCTGCCGAAAACTAAATAAATAAATAAATATTTTTAAAAAAATTTATAATAAATATTCAGGTGGCAGGCTTTGTATTAATGCCCACCCTGGGTTGTGTCCCCCTTGCCCCTTTGGTCCTGAGGAACTTCTACTACAGAGTTACAACCTCATCCCATTTCATTTTGAGAATGAATGGGCTCCTGCATCAGCCTCCCAAATTGCTAGTATTACAGGAATGCCACCATACCTGGCAGAATTAGTGTTTTTAACCCTACATTAAGGAAGCCAGGGTTCGAGGATTAAGTAACATACTCTGAAAGTCACAACTGGTGGTGGAACTAGGGTTCCACCCCTCCTGCTGGTCAGATCTCTGGGTCTGGTTACGCACAGGACACCATCCCAGCTCTAACTTCCACTGTTTTTTTTTTTTTTTTTTTTGGTACCAGGGATTGAACTCAGGGGCACTGGACCACTGAGCCACATCCCCAGCCCCTATTATGTATTTTATTTAGAGATACGGTCTCACTGAGTTGCTTAGCGCCTTTATGTTGCTGAGGCAAGCTCTGAACTCATGATCCTCCCGCCTCAGCCTCTTGAGTACTGGGATTATGGGAACGCGCCACTTAGCCAGGCTACACGACCTTAATTTTAACGTGGGAAATCCAAGGCCTGCAGTTTGGCCACTGCCAAGTCCTAGGTGGGGCCTTCAGGGCCAGGCTTAGGAAAACGCTCCTGTGTTCAGGCACAGCGGCGACACTCTGCGTCCCCTGCCCCCGGGGGCTTACGGCTGAGGATCCGACCCCGCAGGAGGAGCGCACGTGCAGCGAGGTTGCGCTCTCCGGGCTCGCGGGCCCAGCCCCCCACCACGCCCAGCTCAGGCCGGCGTTCCACGCGCGCGCTGCCGCCCACCCCTTTCCTGGCCTGCCGTGTCGCCTACCTGACCCCGAGATCTTTAGCCGGACACTAGCAGCTCGCCGATCGAGGCCAGGGAGCACCCCAGCCAGCACAGACTTACCTGACCGGGGCGTCCTTTCCCGCTCTCATTTACCGCACAGCTCCGCAGACACACTGACCAGACGGGAAACCCCGGAAAGATCGAGGTGCAGCGACAGCCAGTTAGGTGAGCCGGTTTCTGTGTTGTCGCCGCGGGTGGGGCTAGGGCATCAGGCCTTGTCTTCTCATTGGACGCGGCTTCTGTCTATCTACATCAATAGGGGCGATCTTACGGAGAGGGCGGGGGCTTGGGGCTTCAGCTCCGCCCAGGCCTGGCTTTGGCTCCTCCCAGGTCTGGGATGCTTGTGAGCTTGCTCAGCATCTTGCAGAGCTTGGATCTCAGGCAATCCCTCAAGAGTGGTGGATGGCTTCTCTCGTTAGAAGTCTTCTTGCAGTTTGGGGTCACTATGCAAACCAGAAACTGGGCAGGGGATGTAATTAATGGCAGAGAATTTGCCTAGCATTTGTGAGGCCCTGGTTTTGAATCCCAGCACTAAACAAACAACATAAAATAACAAAAAACAAAACAAACAAAACAACCACTTGTGATACTGAAGCACGAGGATTACAAGTTGAAGCCTGCCTTAGCAAGACCTTGTCTCAAAATTAAAAAAATAATAATAATTAAAAGGGCTGGAGATGGCCAGGGGTGGTGGTGTACACCTGTAATCCCAGTGACTGGGGAAGCTGAGGCAGGAGGACCTCAAGTCCAGGCCAGCCTCAGCAACCTAATGAAGCCCTACACAACTTAGCAAAACCTGTCTCAAAATATAAATAAATAAATAAATAAATAAATGTCTGGGGATGTAACTTAGTGTTGGTGTTGTAGGGACAGACATGGCAAGGCACCAAAGATAGCAGGAAACAGTTTTATTTGGCTGCAGCCAGGCTTAGAGTGAAAAACCAGCCTCTATCTCAGAGCAAAGCCTGTCCAAGAAAGGGACATGACCTTTGTCCTTGGATAGACCCACAGAGCACTCCTAGGCACATTCCCACCCTGCTAAGTTGTTTATCTACAAATAACAGGAGAGATTTGCTGCCAGATGTCCCTGACTCAGTCAGGCTAGGTGGGGACCCATAGCAACCCCCTAGCAGCCACCAATCAGCATGAGACAGGGAAATACCTGGGATGCCAGATGACCCTCCCAGTAGTTTATGGTGGTTGATAACATGTTGGGAAACTATGTAATTCGGCATGAACACCCCTCTTGGCTTAAACCAATCAGTTCAAAAGAATACCCCTTTTGTACTGACCAATCACCCCTACCCAACTTGTTCCCATCAGTGAATGTGCTAATCTTGTTTTAGAGTTGTTATTTGATTTTCCCGCAGTGTGTGATGATTTGCTAAGAGATGCTATAATGTATGTGAGGGTCCCTGCCTCCTCCAAAGAATGTATAAAACTGCTGCAAACCCTGGGCTCGGGGCTTCTCAGCGTCACCAGTTGCTGTGTGCGTGCGCTGCAGAGGACCAAGCTAGCTCGCAATAAACACTTCTTTGCTGCTTACATCCATCTTGGGTCTCTGGTGGTCTTTTGGGGGTCCCGAATTCGAGCATAACAAGAGGGCACAGCTTTTGCTGTAATCAATCAATCCCCTGAACCCTGAGTTCAGGTAGCTTCAGAATTTTATACCCAGCATGTAAAGGGAAGGGCTCAGAAGTTCACCATCTGCAGAAGTTCACATAAAAGCAACTTTTTCTTTCACTGTTTTGGGCAAGTTAACCCTTCAAGGACAACTCCTGCTTCTTCTCCCCTTTCTTTCTTTCCCTGACAACTGTTACCATGGAGCCCAATTGGTAACTTCTCTTATCTTAGAAATGTAGACATCTCTGTGAAGCCCAGCTCAAGGCCAGAGGCCTTGTTTGCACATTTCTACAAACTACCATATTGGATACATGTTTGTGAAAAACTAGTAAGGGGGTGTCCAGCACTTAAAGCACCAATTTCTTCCCGGCCAAGTAAATTAGGGCAATACAAAAAAAGGAAGTTTGTCTACATTGAACTCTTTTGTAGAGACTCTTTGCTGACAGTCCTAAAAACAGCCATGGTGAAGATTTCTGGAGAAGCCCAGTTAAGACTTTTTGTGGAGGAGGGGGTGCCACTACAGTGGAGCGCCCATGGTTCAATCCCATGGGTCCATTCTTATCATCTGGATGGCCAACTTAAGTGAAAGCTGCCATTTTTAAGAAAAAAAGTTTTGCTTTCCTGCCCAAGGGCCTTTCTGAGAAAGACTCACCACTCCCTCATACCAACCCAACCCTTAGCAGGGCTCTGATTCCTGAGCCTCCCCATAAAAGTCCCAGAACTCAAACCTGTTTTGCCTCTCTCTCCTGTAGAGAGATGGCCTTTATTTGTCAGCTCTGACTAACAAACTCTCCTATGTATCTCTGCCTGGTCTCCACCTTTCATTTCTCACTCATCCATGTCTCCTTCCTCGCTTTCCCTTCAGGGATGGCGGGGAGCCTGCTGGTGGGGAGCTTATAAACAAGCAACTACACCAGAAACTAAAGCTGAGATTTGGGGGAGGAGAAAAGATTGTGTTGTGGAAAAGGCAAAGGAGTTTCTGAGATGAGAGAGAGAGATGAAGGAGAAGGCGATGTTGTCTGGCAGTGATCTCAGGTGGCTGAGGCTGCTTGCTGACTCTAGGTCTGTAGTCTCCAAGGTGCAGAGGATCACACCCTGAACTAGGAGTCAGGTGGGTGGCCTCAGTTCTAGGTCTAGTTTTTTTCCTACTTATTGTGCCACCCAGGTGAGTGTCCTTGTCTTGGAGTCTTGATTTCTTCTGCTGTAACAAGAAAGTTGATTTAATGTTCTGATGCCCTCTCCAACTCAAAAGTTTGTTCATACAACCAGTATTTCTAGAATGATCTATGTATAATATGCCTGTTCCAGACAACCAACAGTCATGATACCCTGTACAAAGAAAATGGAAGCCTATGATGGACACTTGGTCAGAATTGACAGTTCTGTGAGGAGAGCCAGGTTTAAAGTAGGCCAGACTTAATGGAGACAACAGCCCTGACATTATCATGTCCCCTGTTAACCCAGGCTTTTGTGAATGGCTGGATGCACTAGAAACTAGGTTGTGGGGCTTATTGATTGTACCCATGTGTGAAGGCATTTCAGTCAGTAGGATTTTGACACTTGAGAAATTTACAAATATATGTAGAGCATGAAGTTTTAACTAAACACAATGGATCTACTCTTGGTGAGTACAAATCCAGCCAGCAAACCAGAAGATAAAAGAATGGAGAAAGATTTATTACCTGCAGCAAGTAAGCAGGTTATTTGCTATGCATTGCTTTTGGTCAAGAAAGGAAGCATGGGGTTTCTATTGGGGAGCCTACAAATATTCATATAGGAAATCAGGTGTAAAGGGCAGATTCTGACCATGCTCATTGTAAGGTGTGCACTTTTTGAGCATGCTCAGTTTAAATTTGTGTAACAGTGGTAGCTTTACCTCCCGAATGTAGCCCTCAAAGCTCTAAGGCTTTTTTTTTTTTAATATTTATTTATTTTTTAGTTTTCGGTGGACACAACATCTTTATTTTATTTGTATGTGGTGCTGAGGATCGAACCCAGCGCCTCGCGCAAGTCAGGCGAGTCCGCTACCGCTTGAGCCACACCCCCAGCCCTTTTTTTTTTTTTTAAATGTTTTTTCTTTTCTCTTCTCCCCTTCCCCTCCCTAACAAGATTGGGGAGACAGTGTTATCTTTTCTTACCCTAGTTAATTGCCCTAGAACACACCCACTACAGGAAGGAGATGCCAGCTGAGGATCTGGGAAGTGAATATCTCCCAAATTAACAAGTGAATCCTAACACGCCCTGGGGCCCCCTACCAGAGCTTTGACATACCCCCCACACACACCTCCAGACTTTGGGACAGGAGTCTCCTGTGTTTCTCCTTTGCTTAACAAAGCAATGTTACTACTGCTTCCCTGAATGTTGAAGTCTAACACCAGAGGAGCTCGCAGAGGCAAGTGTAGAGAAGAAAGTGGAAGGCTTTATTAAAGGATAGCAGAAAAGACTTCCCCGGGAGGAAAAGGGGAATCCGTAGAAAGGGGAGGTCTTCTCCCTTTTATATCTAAGGTCTTCTTTTGTCCTCTACATTCCTGCCCTTTATTTCCCACTATCCTGCATGATGGGGGTCACAGGTGGGAAGGACAAAAGATGGGAAACAGGTGGACAGATGGAGTGGGGACATTAACATTTCAATTCCCAGGTGTTGTTCTGGTTTCCCAGGCTCGGATCGAACTCCATTTTCTTTATGGACTCCATTTTCGATATGCTCTCTATTTTCTTTCTTGAACTCGATATTAGACCTGATTTACCTATTTACACTAACTACCTATTTTTAAATCTGGCTTCATCAATAAAACCTTCTTTTTTCCTTTTTCTTAAAATCCTGTCCTCATCATTAAATTGACATTGATTGGCTTTGGGGACAGGGACCGAGCTTTCTGACACAGTTGATTCAAAAAGGAGAGGACACATTTCTAGGCATGCTCAGCATAAGGTCTATAATACAAGTTCAAAAGAGGATGATAGTCATCAGGAAATTTCTGGGCATGCTCAGCTCAATATTATAATAGACCAAATTTACTGTAGGTTGTCTAAAAGAAAGAAGTCAGAGTTCTAGGTCTTAATTTTGAAGCCAGATTTAAAATTAGGTAGTCAATGTAGTCAGGTAAATTGGGTCTAATATCGAGTGAAATCTAAAATGGAGGCCATGTTGAGAATGAATTCCTGGAAAAGTTGAGCAACTCTCCTGGAATGTTAATGAAGTCCAGGAAACAGCCCCCAACAGATTTGAAGATAGCCCATCCCAAAGAAATGTTAATGAACAGCAAACTTGAAGATGCTGACTCGGAAGTGCCCAGATTACTTCTTTGGCCCACCTGTGTCCCAACCCTTCGGGCCTTCCCACCTACATTCCATCACTGAGAGAAACTATAAAAGGGAGAGACAACCGCACTTCCACGGATTCCATCTCTTGGGTCCCCTTCTTCCTCTGGGATAAGTCTTTTCTGCTGTCCTTTAATAAACTTCTAATTTTCCACCCTGACCTTGCCTCGGTGTGCTTCT